AACTGTGTTGTTATTTTGTTCTATATTTCAGGTGAAAAAAATTACAGCATTGACACAAAGCTTTACAAATATCAACCACAAACAAAAATCTGTTATTCAGAGGGATAATTAATTTTGCATACAACTACATAATAATACACCATAATACGTTATAATACACCATGTTAACATGAGAAAGGGATATAAAAAGAAAAATGCGTACAAATCAGTGCTAACTATAACATTCATCAACCAAATCACGGTAACAATAACACCAAGCAAATATGGATTTAAAATATCAGCTTTTACCTATAATATGAAAATGCTATTCATTCAGTGTCATTTCTTAGCAATCATTGGAGGGATGAGTTCAGCACTTACTAAATATGTCATTTCTTGTGTGATTTTCGTTCCTTGTGCCTACGATATAGAAGGCAAAAACTCATTAAATAAGTAACACTAATATGTTAGCACCCAAAAGTCATAGTATCAGCAAAAAAAAAAAGATTGGATTAAATTTTTTTAAGGACCAAAAAAATTGTTGTCTGAACGGGATTTGAATGCAACTTAATCAAATAAGCATGTATAAGCCATATTTTTTGCTTACATTGCAACAAATGCATATGAACAAAATAAAAGCAACTACACTAGTCTTTGAGATAGACCTTCATCTATTGCAATCACATTTAAAAAATAATAATAAAAAATCAGATGAGCAATTCCAATGTAAAAAGCAATTAAAACAGCTGAGTTATTCCATTTCAAAATTTGAAATTTTTAGATCAGATGAGCAATTAAAACAGCTGAGTCATTCTATTTCAAAATTCGAATTTTAGATTAGACGAGTCATTCCAATTAAATGAGCAATCAAAATTCGAATTTCAAAATTCTAATGTAAAAAACAATTAATTAGCTGACCAATTCCAATGTGATGGGCAGTGGGACATTCAATGCCTTGTCTGCCACCACAAATGGTCATTTATTTTTTGATTTAAAAAAATTCAATTTTTAAAAGAAATTCTTTTTTCAATTTACCAAAGAAGGAAAGTTTTTATATGCCATGTAGTATGAACACAATTTTTAGAATTAAGCAGGGAGTGACACATCAGCGAAGTTTCCAACATTGAACCCTCCTTTATATATATATATATATATATATATATATAGATGAATGCCACCATCCATATTTTAAATTCAAAATTTGAAACCATTTCAAAATTCGAATTAAAAATCAGATGAGCAATTCCAATGTAAAAAGCAATTAAAAGAGCTGAGTCATTCCATTTCAAAATTTGAAATTTTTAGATCAGATGAGCAATTAAAACAGCTGAGTCATTCTATTTCAAAATTCGAATTTTAGATCAGATGAGTCATTCCAATTAAATGAGCAATCAAAATTCGAATTTCAAAATTCTAATGTAAAAAGCAATTAATTAGCTGACCAATTCCAATGTGATGGGCAGTGGGACATTCAATGCCTTGTCTGCCACCACAAATGGTCATTTATTTTTTGATTTAAAAAAAATTCAATTTTTAAAAGAAATTCTTTTTTCAATTTACCAAAGAAGGAAAGTTTTTATATGCCACGTAGTGTGAACACAATTTTCAGAATTAAGCAGGGAGTGACACATCAGCGAAGTTTCCAACTTTGAACTCTCCTTTATATATATATATATATATATATATATATATATATATATATATATAGATGAATGCCACCATCCATATTTTAAATTCAAAATTTGAAACCATTTCAAAATTCGAATTAAAAATCAGATGAGCAATTCCAATGTAAAAAGCAATTAAAAGAGCTGAGTCATTCCATTTCAAAATTTGAAATTTTTAGATCAGATGAGCAATTAAAACAGCTGAGTCATTCTATTTCAAAATTCGAATTTTAGATCAGATGAGTCATTCCAATTAAATGAGCAATCAAAATTCGAATTTCAAAATTCTAATGTAAAAAGCAATTAATTAGCTGACCAATTCCAATGTGATGGGCAGTGGGACATTCAATGCCTTGTCTGCCACCACAAATGGTCATTTATTTTTTGATTTAAAAAAAATTCAATTTTTAAAAGAAATTCTTTTTTCAATTTACCAAAGAAGGAAAGTTTTTATATGCCATGTAGTGTGAACACAATTTTCAGAATTAAGCAGGGAGTGACACATCAGCGAAGTTTCCAACATTGAACCCTCCTTTATATATATATATATATATATATATATATATATATATATATATATATATATATATATAGAGAGATGAATGCCACCATCCATATTTTAAATTCAAAATTTGAAACCATTTCAAAATTCGAATTAAAAATCAGATGAGCAATTCCAATGTAAAAAGCAATTAAAAGAGCTGAGTCATTCCATTTCAAAATTTGAAATTTTTAGATCAGATGAGCAATTAAAACAGCTGAGTCATTCTATTTCAAAATTCGAATTTTAGATCAGATGAGTCATTCCAATTAAATGAGCAATCAAAATTCGAGTTTCAAAATTCTAATGTAAAAAGCAATTAAATCAGCTGACCAATTCCAATGTGATGGGCAGTGAGACATTCAATGCTTTGTCTGCCACCACAAATGGTCATTTATTTTTTGATTTAAAAAAAATCAATTTTTAAAAGAAATTCTTTTTCCAATTTACCAAAGAAGGAAAGTTTTTATATGCCATGTAGTGTGAACACAATTTTCAGAATTAAGCAGGGAGTGACACATCAGCGAAATTTCCAACATTGAACTCTCCTTTATATATATATATATAGATTTAAAATTTCGAATTTCAGATTGTGCAAAATAAATACATAATTTCGAAATTTAATTGATAAAGCATTTAAAATTTCGAAAATTCAATTTTTAAAAGAATATTGGTATGATAGTTTATCTAATATGATAGTTTTGATTTTGAGATTTAATTTATTTTGTCTGTCAGCTCTCTTGATTATTTATTGTTATGATATTTGAATCAAATATATAACAAAGATAATGTCTATATAACAAATATAATGTCTTTGTTATATCATTATTGTATACATATTTTTTTAAAAATAACCATAACGAAATTGTGAATTGAATGACGATCAGGTCTTCAACAATTGTGAAATTTGTTTTTGTTTCTATTGATCTCCATGAATAGAGATCGTGAATGCATGTCCGTGAAAAGAGTTTTCTTTTTATTGAATTTAAAATTTCGAATTTCAGATTGTGCAAAATAAATACATAATTTCGAAATTTAATTGATAAACCATTTAAAATTTTGAATTTCAGATGAGATGGTCAATTCCAACATAAAAAGCAATTAAAACAGTTGATTTTTTTGGATACCAATGTGATGGGCAGTGGGACATTCAATGCTTTGTTTGCAACTATTATTCGATTTAAAAATTAAAATTCAATTTTTAAAAGAGTTTTTTTTTCCTATTTACCCAATAAAGAAAGTTTGTATATAATCAAATTGTAGAATTAACCAGGGAGTGACACTTGGCAAAACTTTCGAGCAGTGAACTCTCTTTTATATATATTTAGATAAGTTTATATCCTTTTAGATCCTAACCGTTGATTTCCGTCCATCAACGGTTATAATCTATTGGGCCAAATTTATTATTAATTAATTAATAATTTTAATCCCATAAATTATAACTGTTGATAGACAGAAATCAACGATTAGGATCTAAAAGAATATAAGCTTATATCCTTTAAAAGGATAGATGTTATTCCCTTTAAGTAAATCCTCATAATATTGTATTATTATATCCATTGTTAACTAGTAATTTTCAATGAAGTATTGAATATTTATAAAAATATTAATTATTTTATTTGTACACTACACGGATTATTTCATATTTTATATTTTAAAAAATATTTTTTAATTTTACTGTATATTATAAATATGATAGATAACTTTTTTTTTTAAAATTTCTTTTGCTCTTACGAATACTCTCATCATAATATTATTGTTTTGTTTTTATTTAGATGTCACCATTCTGTCATTATTTTGAAGTCAATATAATGTTTTATTTTATAATTGTTATTTATTGTTTTTGGAAAATATATATTACTTTTACTAAAATTTTTTTTACTTGTCAAAGTAGTTTTATTGAATACTATAAATTAATACATGCGTAAATTTTTACTTACATATGATTACATTTTACCTTTGTCGATTTGACTAGTTTACTCTTTTATTTTAAAATTTGTTTGATTGAGCTATAGATTCGGATCTAATTATGAGATGCTAGAATTGTGAAATTGAATTAGGTTAAAAAATATCAGAATATCTGTAAAATATCATATAATATCAATATTATATCTTAAATAATCTAAAGATAATTAATTTTCTTATTTTAGGATCCACTATTTTACGTTATTATAAAATATTATTCAATCTTGATTTTATTTTGCATTTTCCATGCAAAAATCCCAATAATATCTACAAAACTAACGTGTATTTGATGATATCATTAAGTCCTTCGCAAGCCAATTTTGCTATGTTGCGATGGTTTTATATACAACTCATGCAATACATAAATAATATAAATGAGAGAAAATGTCTGATTTTATTAATTTTCTGTCCCGTGCTCAATGGAATAGAAAGAAAGTCTTGTGTATGTGCATTTATTATTCCACCATAAATTGTAATATTATTTTTATGCACCTTATAATAGATACAATTTAAAGAATATAAAATCCAGTAAATAAATGGAATTTAAGATTAAATAAATTATGTGCTTATAATGACTAGCGGGCTTCATCAATGGTTGTTGCAAGTGCAGCAAAAGTAGAAAAAAAATAAAAAAAATGGAAAGATCTGAAAATATCTTTAAAAAGATTGGAAAAAGTTTTATTTACCATGCGTATTAAATTAATTAATTAAGTTGCTACATAATACATATACTTATGGAAAAATAAATAAAAATAGCACGTGAAATAAATATCGGATTTTGGGGAGTTAAATTCGGTTCGGTGTTCTAACAGAGTGCGTGGAGCGGACAGAACGTGATACATAAACACACACACACAGAGAGAAACAAAAGAAAAACAAAACCCTCTTTCTTTTCTTCTCAACTCTCGACCTCGTCCTTCTCCTTCTCCTTCTCCTTCTCCATGAAAGAGCACTGAAACGACACCGTCTTAACAACTAAGGAATTATGTCTCAGAAGCCTCACCTGCAACTCAAGGAGCTGGGATCCAAGCTCGACACCCTTCCCTCCTCCAAAGACGCTCTCATCAAGCTCTTGAAGGTTTGCATTTTTTTTTTTTTTTAATTTTTTAATTTCAATTCCTCACTGCTTCATTCCCCAATTCTCCATGTTCGCCAGGTTTGAAAATTCCGTTTCGTTCCTTTTTTCTTAATTTCCAATTGAATATTTTGAACTTTTTTTTTTTTTTTTCTCTTTCGTGTTGGTTATATCCGTTACTTTCTGTTTGTCTGCTGGGTAGCTGAGGTCTAAGGAGAAGAAAACGAAAAAGAAGAAGAAGAGAATTTTCTCTTTTAAGCTGACTTGTCTTTGAGAAAAATAGAATAGCTCAAATGCCTTCAACTTGGTGGGTTTTGCTTCCACCAATTTTACTGCTTCTTCGTGGGGTTGGTTTAAAAGTGAGAATTAAATGTGTGACTTATGGTTGCAGACCTTTCTGCAATTGAGAAAAACGATTAGTAGATTTACTATGTTTGAGTTGAGACTTACGTTAATTTGGAGTTAGGTTACTTTGTGAATGGTCATGAAGGTGCTTCAAATTTGTGTGCTAACTGTTAACACAAGAGAAGTTATTAAAATTGGCGTTTTAATTATCTTGTGCTGTAGTTTAATAAGATGTCTATGTTTTGGATTTTGAGAATCTCGTGTGGGAGCTGATAAAAGATACTGAGAATGACAACTTTCTTGTCTGTGGTTGAGAATGGAAGGAAAGAAGTTGAAGTAGAAAGGAGGAGTTGGGGGGCCCTTTACAAATGCATTTGAGGTTGAAAGGGTTGTTTGCTTGAGTTCTATTATAAGATAAACTAGGAAGTTTTTTTTTTTATCCAAAAAAGAAAAAGAATTACAGTATTAGACAGATGAAGAGAAAAACATATACTGGACTGTGATTTGTGAATGAGGGATCGGTTTAAGGTTAAAATACTACTATTTAAGTTGTTCATATGGATATTGTCTTAAGAAAGTAGTTTCTTATAAAGCTATTGGATTATTGGTTTTGGCAACTGCTGATCCCCCTCTTCTTCCAAAATGTTTTTCCTCATGCAGCAAGCAACCACATGCCTTGCTGAGTTGGATCAGTCAACTTCAACTTCAGAAATGGAGTCAATGAAGCCCTTTATTGATGCAATTGTCAAGCCAGAATTGCTGAAGCACCAAGATAGGGATGTCAAGCTTCTTCTTGCAACATGTGTTTGTGAGATAACTCGGATCACCGCACCTGAAGCTCCTTATAGTGATGATATTCTAAAGGTGCCTTTCTTTTACAAAGATTATCTAATTATAGTTCTTCTTCTTATTTACAACTCGAAAGTGTAATTATTTCCCTATTAGGTTCTGCTGGAAAAAAATTAGTTGGGAACATAATTTATGATTTTCCTTTGTTCTAATCTTTGTTAGATCTCTTTGCAGGACACCTTTCAATTGATTGTGGGTACTTTTAGTGGTCTAAGTGATACCAATGGTCCATCCTTTGGCCGGAGAGTTGTTATATTGGAGACTCTTGCAAAATATAGATCCTGTGTTGTAATGTTGGATCTTGAATGTGGTGATCTGGTGAATGAAATGTTCAGTACTTTCTTTGCGGTTGCCAGGTTAGTTTACCATAGAATCTTTTAGTTAATTTTGAGGTGTGTGCTAATGTTAAGAGTAAAAAACATAGGTTTCCTGAAAGTTTCTGCTATTCTTTTCCAAGATTGCAAACTTGATATTTTGTTGGCTTATTTTTTTTGGGATCCTGTGTTCTTTTTGCTGGTCATAGAATAATGAGAAATGAATTAAAACTAATTAGACAAACTTCTTTGTGTACTTGGAATGTGATGTTTTGCTGTATAAACAGTCTCCACTTAGTGGGATAACACTTGGTTATTGTTGTTGAAACTTTAAACTGTCAGACACTAAGGTGAAAACTAAGATATTCAATGCCATTTTCTTGAATATCAATTTTCTCTGCTTATTTCTTGATTAAATATCTCTTGGATTAGAGAGTGGTGTCTGAATATATTGTTTCATGCTCAGAGATGATCACCCAGAAAGTGTTCTGTCATCCATGCAAACGATCATGGTAGTTCTCTTAGAAGAGAGTGAGGATGTCCGTGAGGATCTTTTATTTATTCTGCTATCTACATTAGGTCGTGAAAAAAAAGTAAGTACTTCTTGTATAAATTGATTAAATTCTTTTTCCTGTTAAAGGCAGATAGCTGAGGCTCTTGCTGCTCTAAAATTATTTAAGAAACATGATAGTGTGGAGTTTTAATTCCAGGGTGTTACTATGGCTGCAAGGAGGCTTGCTATGAATGTCATACAGCAATGTGTAGGAAAACTTGAATCCAGCATTAAACAATTTTTGCTATCGTTAATGTCTGGGGAGAGCAAACCAGTGAACAGTCAAGTTGAATACCATGGAGTTATCTACGATCTATATTGCTGTGCTCCTCAAGTCCTGTTTGGAATTCTTCCTTATGTGACTGGAGAGCTTCTGGTAATTTGTGATTTATTGGCGTTCTTGATGCTTTTATGTCTTTTTGAGCAGCATCATATATTTTCATTATAATGACCTTATTGCTGTGACAATTGTCTTTTGTGTAATTTATATTTTATGCTTTGTGGAGGTTATGAGTTTTGGAATGTATAAAGTCGTAATATCAGAGTCACTTTGACTTTTTTATTCCTCAATGATTTAGTTCATGAGCTTAGCAAAACTATACTATTGTTTAATGTCTGAATTATCACTTGTAATTTGGAAAATTGTAGAGTGACCAGCTGGAAACCCGTTTGAAAGCAATGAACTTGGTTGGTGATATAATTTCTGTTCCTAGATCTTCCATTCCTGAAGCATTCCAGCCTATATTTTCAGAATTTTTAAAGAGGTTGACTGATAGAGTTGTTGAGGTTCGCATGTCTGTCCTTGAGCATGTAAAGAACTGTCTGTTGTTAAATCCTTCAAGAGCTGAAGCTCCTCAAATAATATGTGAGTGCATTAAAACATGTATATCCATTCAGTCTAATTTTTTTTTAATCTATATATTATATCTGCTGATTTTATTTGAGTCAAACTTAGCTACCCTTTGTGATCGGCTACTGGATTTTGATGAAAATGTTCGAAAGCAAGTCGTGGCTGTTATATGTGATGTGGCATGTCATGCCCTAAATGCAGTTCCTCTTGAAACTGTGAAACTAGTTGCGGAACGGCTTCGTGATAAATCTGTATGTATACCTCTAAATTTTTTGTTTTTAATCTTTCTAATTAACTGTTTAGTGATTTCAACCACAGTATCTCTGTTCCTTATTTAGCTTTGCATTTGCAGCTGCTTGTTAAAAAGTATACGATGGAGAGATTGCCTGAAATGTATAGAGTTTTTTGTGAGAAGAGCGGTGATTTAGTCAATCCCAATGAATATGACTGGATTCCCGGCAAGATCCTTAGATGTTTCTATGACAAAGATTTTAGGTAAAATACTTGTTCTTTTTTCTTTTTCATCTTTGCACTCATTTGCATAAGTGATCAATGTGATTTTTTGATATTGATTTTCTTATTAACAATAAAGTAAGGACTGACTTTTTTCTTGTAACCCCATGAATACTCAAAAAGCTTCCGCTTAAGGGAGAGTTGACAGTTGTAGGACTTACACTTGAGGGGTAGAATGTTGGGAATCCAAGTGTGAGTAGTGAAGGCCCACGTTGGTTGCAAATGGACTAAGTGAGAACCATATAAGTGGAAGGAACTATAAATCTAATACTTTAAGGTTTTAGGTTGAGATGTGGTGTTGAGCCCACTTATTGTAGTGAGCTTGTTGCTTAGCCCATTTGACCCTACCATGAGCTTCCCCCTCTTACCCAACAGATGATAAACAACTATCTCACCTAAAAGATCAAGCTGTTAAGTGAATGCCATTTTAATGGTTTTATATTAGACTTCTCTAACACACGTCTTCACACAAGAGTCAAATGGGCTTGAAGGATGGATAAAACATAGGCCCACTTACCTATTCAATGAAATTCCACAGTTAAATATTTATTAGAAGAATGTGGGGCGGAGTGGATCGAACTTGTGACCATTTGTCATTGGCTCTGATACCATAATAAACAGTCATTTTGCCTAAAAGCTGAAGCTGTTAAGTGAATGCTACTTTAATAACTTTTATATTAGAATTCTCTAATAGTCCTTATACGTACAATTGTTTCCAATTTGGTCGTTGCTTTATTTTGCTATTATTATACTGTTTGTTGGAGTTATAGCATAGTGAAGTGTAGGAACCAAATTAGATTTTGGTCCCAATCATTTTCAATTTGATCCATATACTTCACAGTTTCTCCATGCCAATCTGACAATGTTATAACAGTAACAGATGACGGCAGCAATGATTGTACATGTAGCGACTAAATTGAATTCTTTTTCGTATGGGGTTCAATTTAAAAATAAGTGTCATATATAGGGACCAAAAATATATTTTAATATTTATATGTCAAGGTAGTCATCTGCTTGGTAATAATTAAATCCCCTCTCCCTGAATTTGAGTTCTAATCTCAAATAGACAAACAAAAAGTATACTTATGTTTTCAAGAGATAAAACATTAAACTCAAGTTTGTCATATTATATTAGTACAGAATGGCATATGAGTTTAAATTTGATCCACTTTGAGTGTAGAGTTGGCACATCATTAAAAGAATGTGACCTCCTTAGTTGTAGTTGTGAAAGTCAAACTGGTTATACATTATTGGATAATATTTTTTAGTGATTGGCTATACCCATGATTGGGTGACAGTGTACAAAAGTTTTACACCCACCATGGATCAAAATTAAATCCTTAGTATATGTTCTGTATATTTGTATTGTTAATGCACTTATATCTTGCCTTTTATTTTCTTCATATGATATTGATTAAAAAGTATGGTGCCTTTCAAAAAAAAAATCTTGTGATTCTGAAAATTCCTTGCTGCACTGCACTAGGGCACAGGATACCTAAAGACTTGCCAGCCATTTTAACTGTTAGGAAAATGATTTCCATGTTGTGGTTTGTTGCTTGGACTTGTGTTTTTTGTCAATACTGTAACTTCTTCCAGTTTACACATATTTTCCTACTACAAAATTGGAGGAGTTGGACGCTTTGGTGGCAAATATTGTTTTAACTATACAATCCTGTTTTCTCATGAGTTTGTTTCTTCTTTTCCTTCTTGGTTTGGTTTTTGTGTTCTGTTTTTTCGCTGGGTTAGAGACGTCCTAATCAGTGGTGTTTCTCTTGTTCATTTCATTCTACAGATCTGATATAATTGAATCTGTTCTGTGTGGGTCCCTGTTTCCGGTAGAGTTTTCAATTAGTGATATTGTTAAACATTGGGTTGGGATTTTCTCTGGATTTGATAAAGTGGAGGTCAAGGCTCTTGAAAAGATACTCGAGCAGAAACAAAGGTAAGCTTGGTTGACTTCTGTGATGGGCTGATGGCTTGTGCAACTCTGTTGTCTCAACATCAGTAAGCAATTGAAGTTTCACTTTTAATGGTATCTCTTTGGAAGCAGGTTGCAGCTAGAGATGCAGAAGTATCTGTCTCTGAGGCAGATGAGTCAGGTATGTGATGTTGGAAGTTGGAAAGATGAACTTCTCAACAGAAATATGATAAGAAAAAGGGATTGATTCTCATTTAAATGCAGGATAAAGATGTTCCCGATGTCCAAAAGAAGATTCTTTTCTGTTTCAGAGTAATGTCCCGTTCATTTGCTGACCCCATGAAGGCCGAAGAGAATTTCCAGATTCTTGATCAATTAAAAGATGCTAATATCTGGAAGATATTAACAAATCTTGTTGATCCAAACACTGGCTTCCATCAAGCTCGTGCCTACCGGGTAAAATAATCAATAACTGATCTGATAGTATGTTTTGGGGAATACTTATTTTGGGAAATCATGGTTACAAACTGTATGGTCATTAATCTTTGAAGTGATGATATGAGGACTAAATCTGCTTGATGCTCAATTCCTGTTATATATATCATTTGCAAACTTTTTATAAATTTGGGTGTCTATTAAGTATTATTTCCATGAACAAGTCTGATTTTGACCCTTTTCCATCACTGTCATTAATTGCCACCATAAATGGTACTGCCAACGGACTATGCCTTTCTTGTGCTTTTTGGCTATGAATCTAATTAATTATTCATTTGCTCTGCCAATGAGTACTGGCCATATTCAACATTATTATCTAACAATAAACTGCATACATTTTCATTATAATCTAACCTTAACCTCCAAATGATGCTAGGACCAACCTAACTGCTGTTTTGGCAACTAGCTTAAACTAAATTCAACACCAATTCAGAATTTGATGCTAATACATCTGTCTCTGGATCTGCTTCCTGTAGCCATCTTGAACTTTCTTTCTAGGTGCCAATAAGAAGAACTGCGTAGGTTTTAAATGAGAAAGTCTCATTGTTATGATTCAGACTAGCTTCATCATATTTTATTATTTTCTTGTAGGGAAAGAAAGAATTAAACTAGCTTTTAGTTTTATTTTATTATTATTTTTTATTGATTATGCTTATTATTTATTTTTTGTTTGTAGGATGATTTGCTTAAAATACTTGGCGAGAAACATCGTCTCTATGAATTTCTGAATACTTTCTCTGTGAAGTGCTCCTATTTGCTCTTCAACAAGGAGCATGTGAAAATAATTCTTTTAGAAATACTAGCTCAAAAATCTGCAGAGAATGCTCGGCGTACACAGTCTTGCATGAATATATTGGTGGTAAGAACATGTCATTTCATGGTGTCTTGGATTATTGCACTTAGATCTTGAACATTTGTTTATGAATTCTAGCATGAATTATCAAAAAATAGTTCCTAGCTTTTGCTTGTAAAGATTGCAAAGTTTTACTTTATGTCTTTGAATGATGCTGATTAATTGGTATTTGTGGGCTTAGGGTGATTGTGTGTGTCAAGTGCCAGTTTATCCCAAAAATTTAAGCTGATAGAAGGCCTAGGAAAGATCCTTAAGACAGCCCCTCGTTTGATAGCCTTTTAAGCTCAAAGTGTTTACAAAGCACAGCCCCACCATTACTTGGGTTGAAATTTACTTTGATTTAGAATAGAGATGACAAGGTTTGAGCTCTTTACCACTTGTTCAGAGTGGCTTTGATATGATAAGATTCTGTATAACCAATTAATCCTAAATGTTTAAGCTGATAGAAGGCTGAAGACTGGTTTTTATTATATTTCATATGTACTTTTACTTTTTTTTAGTATCCTTCTCCAATAATTTCATGTTTATGTAATTCTGTTATGAAGCAGTTGTATGGTTTGGGTCATTGTGGACATGTAAATCAAGAATGCTAGAATAATCTTTTTCACTTTCTGGTTAACTTGTGGTAAACTGCAGATAATTGCTCGTTTCAGTCCTTTGCTTCTTAGTGGCAGTGAGGAGGAACTGGTGAATTTACTGAAGGATGATAATGTTATTATTAAAGAGGGTATTTTGAATGTTTTAGCAAAGGCTGGTGGTACTATTCGCGAACAACTTGCAGTCACATCAAGGTGATACTGTTAAATTGTTAATGATTTATATCCATTTCCTTGTATAATTTTCTAACTATCTGCTTATTTCAAGCAGTTCTGTAGACCTTATACTGGAGAGACTATGTTTAGAAGGTAGCCGGAGACAGGCCAAGTATGCTGTCCATGCACTGGCTGCAATAACAAAGGATGATGGCCTCAAGTCTCTCTCTGTTCTATACAAGGTTTCAAATAGTTGATTCGTTCATTATAAACAAACTCATTATGTTACTACCAATCTTATTCTTGTCACCTTATATGCAGAAACTTGTAGATATGCTGGAGGAGAAAACACATCTTCCTGCAGTACTGCAGTCTCTGGGGTGTATAGCACAGGCTGCAATGCCTGTCTTTGAAACTAGAGAGAGTGAGATTGTAGATTTTATAACAAACAAGATTCTGAAATGTGATAGTGTAAGCCTTTCAAATTCCTCTGAATATATGCTTGTTTATGAAATAAGCATGGAAATAATTGATTTTCATGTAAATGCATGCATTGCTGTTTCAGAAAGAAGATGACACAAGAGCATCCTGGGATGATAAAAGTGATCTTTGTATGTTGAAGGTTGGTAGGAAGAATAGTCTCTTCTCTTTGTTTAAGTTACTTAGGATACAATTGTATTCTATAGTGTAGTTTGACACATTGGAAAATGCTTGTAAGTTGGCTTCTTTCTGACATTTTTTTCTCGCTTTTTCTTTCTTTGCTACAGATATATGGCATTAAAACCTTAGTAAAGAGCTATTTGCCTGTCAAAGATGCTCATGTTCGTCCTGGTTTTGACAGTCTTCTGAATATCCTTGGGAACATATTATATTATGGTGAAATATCAAAGGACCTGCAATCAAGGTTTACTAGCTTCAGAGTTATATTTTTTAATTAATTTAAAATTTTGGATTGAATTGTGGGTTTAAATACTATGTACTCATTTATGCCCTCTTGCAGTTCAGTTGATAAGGCCCATTTGAGGCTGGCTTCTGCAAAGGCAGTTCTTCGTTTGTCAAGGCTTTGGGATCATAAGATACCTGTTGATCTTTTCCACTCAACATTAAGGGTATCTGAGGTGGGCTCGGTCTTCTGTTTACTTAATTTTATCTTGATTATTTATAGTTTTTCCACAACATTATTAGCAAGATAGAAGAATACTTCTATTCATATGTAACGGCAGAATTTAATTTGTTATTTTCATTTTAATGTGGAAACGCTTCTCATTGTCTTCATGTGAGTTCTGTAGGTTAGCTTCCCTCAAGCTAAGAAGGTGTTCTTAAGTAAAGTTCACCAATATATTAAAGACCGCCTTTTGGATGCCAAATATGCTTGCGCCTTCTTATTCAACATATTTCGATCCAAGCCTGAGGAGTTTGCAGAGGTAAGTTGTTGATCCATTGTCCTTTTTCAATTGCAAATTTTCCTTGCTTTGACATAAATTTTGTGCTGTTGTGATGACTCCTGTGTGCTAATGCAGGATAAACAGAACCTGGCTGACATTATTCAAATGCATCACCAGGCAAAGGCACGGCAACTTTCTGGGCAATCAGATGTGAATTCCTTGACCCCTTACCCTGAATACATCCTACCATACCTTGTCTTTGCACTTGCTCACAACTCATGTCCCAATGTTGATGAGTGCAAGGATGTTGGAGCATATGACAATATATACCGGTACTATTTTGCCCTCACAAGACATCTGTGTGCTGTATGCATATTTACATAGTCTTCAAAAAGGGTGGTGAAAAGACTCAAAAGAGGGATGTGGGAGCTTTAGTTTACTTTTGGTATTTCATAAATGTTGGTGTCCCGTGTAATGGTTTAATGACTTATATCAATGTATGTACTGCTAATATTTGGCTTTCTGCCACTTTGAAAGATATGAAGAATGCCACATGGTTATTAAATTGAAGCCTTCTAAAAATTTGCCTTTATGCATACCAGGCTCACAGTATTATTTCACATGCTATGGAAATCTTATAAGAATCTTTTAGTTGAAATCACAACTTTAAAATCTGCATATGTGCGTGTTCGCAGTAAAAGCCCTTTGCTTTTAAGGGTCTCCTTGTTAATGCGTAGTTGATTAACCCTGTCTGAACACATTTTAGGGTCTGTAGACTTTTTTGTTTCGTTTGGCTGTGATGCCTACATGTATCTGTTTTACTGATTTGTGTACTTCTCAAATACATGCGTATATGATGTTGATTTGAAATATGAATGAGGAACGCAACTGGGCCAATACCTGCAATTTTACTTCTTGTCAAACCTCATTATAGATTAAGTTGGGAATGCTCATTGTTACTGAGTTCATATTCTGTTCTGAATTTCAGGCAGTTACACTTAATACTTTCAATGCTACTGCAAAGAGATGAAGATGCCAAGTCAGAAGTTATTACTAACAAAGAGAAGGAAATTATATCTACTATCACGTCAATATTTCAGAATATCAAGCATTCTGAAGATGTGGTTGACACATCAAAGTCAAAGGTTGAGGATAAAATCTATTTTTATTTTTGACTTAGTTAAAAATTGTAAAATCAAAGTGATAAGAGACTGTAACCTTGCGTCTGTGATTAATGTATGTACAGAATTCTCATGCAATATGTGACCTTGGGTTAGCAATAACCAAACGACTAGTGGCGAAGGATGTTGATTTACAAGGATTGTCTCATTTGGTTTCTCTACCTCCAATGCTATACAAAGCATCTGAGAAGAAGGAAGGAGAGGACACTCTGGTATGCTCCTTTTTTTTTGTTCAAATTTTGTAGTTCCTTCCAGTATTCTAAGTATTCTCATTCATAGTCCACAAAATTCTTTCCAAAGAGTTGCTAATTCTTAAAGAAGATATCTTTTATTAAAATTAGGAGAAGTCTTAGCATTGGTGTTGGTTGCATATATTACCTTAATTGTTAATATACTAGTTTTAAATTTTATTAAACCATTTTAAATGTCTGTACCTTAAGTTACGGACTCTTGTTATTTTGATTCAACATATGATATTATTTTTTAATTGATTAAATTTTTGTGGTGCTTAACTTCTGTGATATCAACATCAACATCAACAACACCTTTATCCCAAATTAATTGGGGTCGGTGGTAGATGAACCCAAATGAAAGATACAAAAAGGTTGAAAAAAAGAAACATAAAAGTAAAAATAAAAACTTCTGTGATATACGCTTGATAATTTCATTACAGGAAAAACTTTTCCTTCCAAATAAGCACCATAGCATTTTCTTATTGCTTGATGGATGTGATTAGGTTGGTTGTGTAGGCTCTTTTCTGAACAGGCAATAAGTTAGATTTGTTCATTATTTTTGACACAGGTTTAATAGCACTACCTTCCTACAAGTAAATATGTTAGACTGGTCTACTATTAAACTAAAAGTAAATGTCAGTTGATGAAGTCTTGTTTTCCTTGAATTAGCTGAACAGTGTTATTACTATTTTAAACATTTATTAGATCTTGGATCACTTTTAATTAAAAACAATGCTTATTCATGCTACTTAATTATCTGGCAGGCAAGTGAAGTGAAAACCTGGTTGGCTGACGAGAGTGTCTTGAGTCATTTTGAATCTCTTGAACTAGAAATGGTATGCTCACTGCAAAGGGAAATTGACTACGCAACTTTCATTGCTTTTTAAATCTTGAACCATGTGATTATTCTTCTTTTATTTCAGGTTCCATCCCAATTAGTTGAGGATGAAGGTTCAAAGGATGATGAAATAGAGGGAAATGAAATGCCTCTAGGGAAGATGTTAAAGCACATAAAATCTAAGGGAACCAGTGGCAAAAAGTTGAAAAAGAATAAGTCTGTGCCAGCTGAAACGAAGAATGCTGAAAATGATTTTGATATCTTAAATATGGTCAGACAAATTAACTCGGACAACGTGGGGACATCTACCAATTTTGAACCAAGTAATGGTCATGAACATTCTTTGATTAAGATGGATCCAGAGTATGCAACAGCAAAAAAAAGAAAAGCTGGAGAAACAACACCTGTTCCAGTGCCTAAACGTAGGCGGTCTTCCACTACTCATGGAAAATTGAGATTATCAACTAGTACTTCAAAGGCTTCTCGAAGAGTTTCAGGAGAAGACTCCTCTGGAGCTGAATTACTGTTGGATGCAGAAGTTAACTCTGACACAGATAGCAAAACCATGCATGGAAAAATGGTCAAAGGCAGTGATAAAGACCCGCTAGTGTCCTCGTTAAAACATAAAGTTAAGGGCTCTGACAGCTATCATGATGATGAGTCAAATAAACCTGATGAGCATGACATGAAGGTAGAATCTTACTGTCAAGTAGATTTATGCTAATTTAGGATTTTTTTTATCGATTTTGTAGACTTCTGCTTATTCTTTTGCCTCTGTTGCAGAGTCCTGATAATTTAAAACGAAGTGTTAAGACTGCAAGTAACAATTCCAAGTCATCGGGATCTACTAAAAAGTGGAAAAGAAAAAGCATTTCAGGATTGGCTAAGGTAAACTCTGTTTACAATCTTTATTAGTCGATATAGTGGTTTTCAGGTTAGTAGTGTCTTCATGCCACGTATAGATCCCCTCCACACACACACACCTTCTCTATGTGATAATTAGTGTTCTTGCAAGTCCCTTGGATCATATTTGATTTGATTTTCCATCTACAGTGCATAACAAAGGGAGGCGAAATTGATACTGAAGATCTAATTGGTTGTAGAATTAAAGTTTGGTGGCCTATGGATAAGAAGTAAGTGCTTATGATGAATTTTAATTTACAAGTTGCACAAGCAAAACAAAATTATTGATGTCAAAACTTTGGTCGATCAAAGGGAAAACAAGACAGATTTTCATTTTTAGTCATGGAAGTATTATGAACATATTTTTAACTTTCCTTCCAAATTCAGCTGCTACTTTTGAATACAGCTTTCGTGTATATTTCTAAAGTTTTTCATGCTGCATCTCGTTAACTTATGTTACATTCTATCTGGAGCTGAATTAATATTAACATCTGGCTTTCCATCTACCATACTTTCTGTATGCCTTCTTTGAACTCTGGAGAGTAATTTCTAAAATCACGATTTTCTTCTCTTGTCTTCACATAATTTCTAATTGAAGTTCTGATGTTTGGTTATTGTTGTTCTGCAGATTTTATGGAGGCACTGTTAAGTCTTATGACCCTTCAAAAGGGAAGCATGTGGTAAGCCGAATGATGCTTTACTTGCCCTCTGAATTTGGTGCTTAGTTTTTTTCTGCCTGGTATGTATTTTACAATTCTGATACAATGTTCCTGTGTCACATTATGTGGAAGATATTATATGAGGATGGAGATGTTGAAATACTCCGTTTGGAAAAGGAGCGCTGGGAACTTATTGACAAGGGTCGAAAATCTACTAAGGTCTCTGGGCAAAAACGTAAAGGTTCAAGTGGCTCACCAAGTAAAAAGACCAAAAAAATGTGAGTGGGAAAAGCTGAGATTCTTATTGCTCATCTGTGATTGTGTTTTATGCTCTAACCATTATAATTTATATAACTTTGCATTAGTAGAGTTAATGGCAAACAATCTCCCAGCAAGCCTGTAAAACGTGGACAAAAACGTGCATCAAAAAGTAATTTTCGTCAAGAGGATGCCAAAGAGACTTCTGAGATATCAAATCCTGAAGAGACCACGACCTCCAAAGTTGATGAGATGAACTCAGGTAATGTATCTGAAAAGTTATGATATGGTTAACTGTTAAGATTGCTAATTTGCTTTGGAAATGAATACTATACCTATAATATCTTCAAGTGCAATTAATTACACTGGTTATGCTTCCTCATTTTAGTGTTAATGACTAGTGCTTCATTTTTGTTTCCTCTCTCATATTTTAATGAGTATTCTTTTCAAGGTGGTTCAGAAGAGGAACTGGCCGAAGGGTCCGATGAGATCACAACAAAGGAGAAGAAATCTAACGGGAAAGTAAGATCAGTTTCCAGAGGAAAGAGGCTTAAGAAAGAGAAGAGCTGGAGTTATACGGAAGAATCAGATGAAGAGAAGCAGGATTATGGTGAGAGGCTTTCTGAAGATAGATTGAGTGTCCCACAAGGTATTTCAGAAGAGAGAGAAGTGGATGAATCAAGTGAAGCTTTGAGAGAAAATGCTAATGGAGAAGAAGAATCAGATTCTGAAGAGCATCAAGATAACTGCAATGAAAAGGCTAGTCCTAGAGAAATGGAGAAATCACATATAGAGTCATCAAGTCCTGATGGTGCCAGGATTGCTGAGATTTCTGACGATGTGCCTCTGGTAAATAAGTCACCCTTTTGCATCACTTATATATATATATATATATATATATATATTCTTTTAGTACTTGTTCTAAACTCATCATTGAGATTGACTGATGCAGTGCAAATGGAAGCATCGGACGGGGAAGAAAAGCTCAGGGAAAAAACGATGAGAAGTTTAGCTGTTGTAAGCTCGTGTGTGTCAGGATTGCATGAAAGGTGGTGCTGTGTTAGTGCTTAGTCTCTTCAGCACAAGTATAGGTGTCAGCATGGATGAAGATGACTGCAAAATTGGAGATCTTTAGTTATTAACACACTAATAAATATGTTTAGCATGCAGAATGTAAAGTAACACTAGTCATTCTCCCACGTTTAGAAAGGCGCTTCAGGCTTTTTAGTGTTATGTTCCTCCTAAATGACCTTTTTTATTTATTAGTCCGGGATATATTATAGGTTTAGCATATGATTCATGAAGGTCTTGTTCATCCTTCCGACACATTTGATATAATTGACTGGGGGCAATCAACAATGTGTACAGCTATACGTGGGGATAGTTGCATTTTTATTTTTAGAATGTTCATACTGTTTAACAACCGTGAAAACTGAAAAGGATGATCTAATCATCAATGCCTTCATTTATATTAAAACAGTGACTCCTAAAACAGGGTGATGATTGCTCAATCATCGTTTTTTTTTTTTGTGCCACTTTTTATAATCCGAAGTCTTAAATTGAGTAATGATCCCAAAAACTACGTATGACATATATAATCTATTTTTACATATTAACTTACTTTTTTGAAGTTTTTTTTCTATTAGTCTATATATTTTATCTACATAATCATTACGTTTATAATTTTATTTTTTATTGAATACTTTTTTTGGACTCTAATTATTTTAAGGGATTTATAAAAATAATGTTGTAGGAAAATGATTGTATCATGTCATAGAAACATCAATTTTTTTTAAAAAAAATTCACTTCCCGTAACAAGACCAAACCATAATCCTTAGATGGTGTTTGGTTTAGGGGAACCAAAAATTTCTCCGTGCAAATGAATATGGGTTTTTAGGAATGACTTGTTTGGTAGAGGGATTCAACCAAGTTCCCGAGCAATAGCAAATGCATACCATTCCTCTTTTTGCTCCTACTTAGCCAGGCATTGTCACTGTTTGCAAAGTCAAGTTGGGGGTGGTTTTGTGCAGAAAGCTGGGTAAGTTGCAATTTGCAAAAATTTTGAAGACGAAAATACCCTCTCGAAAATTTCTCCCTTACATTCCATATGCACTACTACAAATTGTTGAAGTGGTTGCTTGTTCTTCCAATGCTTGGGATGTTTGGCGTGCTTGTCATCCTTCGCCCACAAGGCTCAGTGCCATTGCCATCATTTTCGAGGAACACAGATTAGGGATGATTACTTTGTTTCATGCTAAGGCATCAATGAGTGAATTCAAGAAAATGTGAATATTTTTTATGTCAAATTGGGTAGAATCTAGTAATGTGTATGCCTTGGTACTGCGGGGGGGCTTTGTTCATGTAGTTAAAGCAGATATTTGATAAGCTAAAGTATTTTTGTTTAATTAAATAAAGTTTAGGTTTGGTTCAGAGATGTAGACTGCAACACAGTGCTAAACGCTAGTTTAGGTATTCCATACGCACAATTTTTTTATTTTTCCAAATTTTTTAAAAATAGGGATATTTTCATAATTGTCACTTATTTTTCCATCTATATTTTACCTCAAACCAAACATAGACTTTATAAATCTTACCCAATTTGCCCAGTAATTTTTTTTTCCAACCAAACAACTTTTTTTATATTTTCCTACCAAACTCACTTTCCAACCATTTCCCTATCAATTACATTTTCCTAGTATTCAAAAAATTTCTCCTCAACCAAACGCCCCCTAAATGATAAGACATATCATTCGCATAATAGTTTCTATGTTTGCCACTGTTGAACATAACTTTTTTTTTTTAGTTTTTCAACTGTTTCATTATTCAGACTATATCCGATTTGAGTACTTGTCGAACTCTATTATAGGGGACAGTTTTCCTAATTTTTTTTTTTTTTTTTTTTCCAGAATTCGAATTCAAGACCTCTAGTTAAGTGGTCAAATTCCTTACCATTTATGGTAATGGTGTTTGGTTTGAATATAATCCTTTGACAATGGTTGCAACTATTTTGAAGATATACTATTTTAAAAGAAATTAATTAAAAATACTGAATTTTATATTTGAGAATTTTTTGTGTTCGTACTAATTCCTGCTTGAATGTTATTTTACTTTTGATATTCTTATAATAATTAAGTACAAAATCCTTGTTGTACAGATGACGTTTGTTCAAATAAAATTAAGTTTGTCAACTAAACCAGACTTCATGTTTTATGTTTAAAAATAGGGGAAAATTCATAAATCTTCCAGGTGATTTTTTTTTTATCACTTACATTCTTATATTTTTTTTCTTATCAATTACCCCTAGTCATTTTTTCCATTAAAATCCACATTTAACACCGTTAGTATTTGAACTAACTTACCCATTTTATCTTTATTTTATGCTTGAAATTTTGTTTATTAAAAATAAAAACTGACCCAAAAAATAAAAATGGTGGCAAAATCTACTTGATTATAATCAGAAAAAACAACTCGTAACAGATAGGAGAACAATAATTATTGGAAGGGGGCTTGGAAAATTTCACAGCAGCCAATTTATAGCTAGATGTGACATAACCAAAGAAACCGACAAAAAGCATTGGCCCAACATCAATATACAAATTAAGACATCTTTTATCTTTCTTCTCTTATTTATACAATTCAATATTAATATTATATTCTGAGAAATGATTCCTATACACCATAATTTTTATATGATTTTTTATACTTTTTTATATTCGTGTACGTAGAAATGAAGTCTCACATCAGTTAACATAAACCAAGTAAGGACCATCTAAGTGAGAAAGATTCATAGACCTACAACCTTAAGGTTTTGAGTTGAGATGTGATGTCGGTCCACTTATCGTGGTTTATCATTTGGGTCCATAGGTAAAAGAATTCTTTGCAAAGAGTTTTGGGCTCCCTATACCATTCTCAATAGTGGTATCAAAGCCAACAGTGTGGCTGGAGATGGTGATATTTCAAGGCCTCCGCTGAAGGCTAGTGAGACTCCAATATTTGAAAAAAAAAAGATTTCTGCAGAAGTTGCCCACAAGAAGGAACATAATGTTAGGCCTCACACTTGAGGGGAGAATATTATAAATAATCAATGTGGAACTTCATTACTACCATTGAGAATGGTATGGGGAGCCCAAAACTCCTTGCAAAGAATAACTCCATCAACGGACCCAAATGATAAATCACAATAAATGGACTGACATCAGATCTCAACCCAAAACCTTAATATTCAAGTTGTATGGATTTTTTTGCACTTATATAATATTCACCTGCAATATTTCTAATCAATTTAAAATTTGTCACTACTCACACTTGATTAGTTAATTTATAATCATATATCAGTGAGCTGGACTTCAAACAACAGCAACAATATTTAAGGAAAACTAATGTCAACCGAATGTTAAAAATTAATATTTAATTTCACGATATATAAAAATTTTAAATTTAATAAAAATAACTATTATACTTTTCTAAATTGATATAAATATTCATAATGAAAGCAATATTTAAAAAATAACTATTATACTTTTCTAAATTGATATAAATATTCATAATGAAAGCAATATTTTTGAATTGAAATAAATAATCACTAATTAATAACTATTAATAAATATCATTATAACTTCTTATATCTTTACAAAAAGATCTTTAATTATTATAACGTTATCTGCTTAATAATAACAAAAAACTATTCAGAAAAAAGTAATTAAATTTTTATTAAACTACAATTATCAGTTAGTCAAGGAAAATAAATAAACCCTTAACCACTTACCAAAAAATAACAGTTCTTCACAAAGTTATTTATAACTTCACTTATTTTTATAAAATAATATTATTTATTATTGTAACCCACTCCATTCTAACAAATAACTATTCAACAAGAAGTAATAGTTGTTGACAAAATTCTTTTTATTTTTATATATTTAATATAAAATTCCATTTATAACTATTAGTACTGATCAAGAACAAATCATCACGTAACACAGAGTAATAATTATACGGTAATAGTTTTCTCATGTAGGAGATAATAATTATTTTCTACTGACTCATTTGTATAAGTGAGGTCCACTTTCAAGGAAAAAGAGAAAAAAAGTAGAGTGAGACCTATCTTGAATTTGTGTGTGTAGGAGATAGATTTTTTCTTATGTAATATAAGAATAATAAATCCCATAATTATATTTGAATTTATTTCCAATTTAATATATCCAATATATAAATTCATTTATAATTATTAACTATTTGAAAATTTGATATAAACTTTCTTCAAAATAATTGAATTTCTCTTAATATGAAATGAATGGTTAACATGCAATAAGAAACGAAGAAGATACCACTAGGATTAGCCTAGTGGTGTGGGGTGTGTGTTAAAAGTGTGTGTAGTGTAGGGTGTTGTGTTCAATTCCTTGTAATCTCAAAAAAAAAAAAAAAAAAAGAAGAAGAAAGAAACGAAGAAGATGACGAGATTTGAATGCTCTAAAATGCAAGAAAGAGCGTTGTTAGAGTCAGCATTAATGAGCTGCCACAGAAGCGCACGTTCTACAATTACACTTTGATTTGGATTTTGGACAATGATGACATGACATGACACTGACCAGGTCTAGTCAAAGTCAACGGTCAATCCTGCCGCGCAAATCACCGCCACGTGTTGGTTACACGCATACCTATTAATTTGAATGATCTTCGACTAAAAACTACAATGGTTTCTAATTAAACTACATCGCTTATTTTCTCTCCAAGTTCCCTTGTTTACATGCTTGTTTTATTTTTAGGAGTAAAATGAGTGAACCATTGAGGCTACTAAAAGTCATTGTTGTGCAAGGGAAAAGACTAGTGATCCGGGATTTCAAGAGCAGTGATCCTTATGTTGTGGTCAAGCTGGGGAATCAGGTAACTCGTCCTTCACTTTTGCCTTGTTTCTTTTTATATCAACAACATTATATTATATCATGTAGCATTTCTTAACATCAGAATGTTGAAAAATGATTCGTTAAACTGTGCCAGACATCAAAGACCAGGGTCATTAATTGCTGCTTGAATCCTGTTTGGAATGAAGAGCTGACTTTCACTATGACAGAACCTTTGGGAGTTCTGAATTTGGTGAGTTTTCTGATATTTGTTTGCATTTGTAAATATATATATATATATATATATATATATATATATATATATATATATATATATATATATGTATGTTTGTATGCTTCATGAAAGGAACTGAACATTTGCATGTATTTTACAATAATATATTTATGGTGAAATTTTGGAAATGCTGAGTTCAAAGTTAATTATTTATTTATTTATTAGGTTATAACGTTGTATAACTAAGTTGCTTTTTGGATAGGAAGTATTTGATAAAGATTTTTTGAAGGCTGATGACAAGATGGGAAATGCTTACTTGAACCTTCAACCATTAGTCTCTGCAGCCAGATTAAGAGATATTTTAGGGGTCTCCTCTGTTGATACAACATTGAGGAAGGTCATACCGGATAGTGAAAACTGTCTTGTGTGTGAAAGCAGTATCATTTGTGTTAATGGTGAGGTGGTGCAGAATGTTTGGTTAAGGCTTCGCGGAGTTGAGTCTGGGGATCTAGAATTGACGATCAAGTTGATCACTCCTGCTGCTTCCTCATTATAGTGCACAAATATTTGCAACTGTCCATACTCCATAGTGTTAGTGTATGTAGATATATATATATATATCTAATTGTAACCTTTTATGTTTATGTTGATTAACTGCTCATTGATGTAATCTAGCAGTTAGATAAATTAAAGCCACTTGAAGCTGCATTTCCAAATGAAAATGTTTCGATTTATGTCTTATTTGGTCTGTATCTGTATGGTGTGTGTTCTGCTTGTCTTGCCTTGTATAACATCACAAAAAAACTAGTAGAAAACTGGTCTTTTGTTTTAGCAATGAGTACTCATTTGGGATTTCAGTTCAGATATTGGTGGTTCGTACCTGATGGAGTAAAAATGCAAATTATATAGGCTTGTTTGATATAGCTGTCTCCGAGGTCTCCCTTGTTTTCTTCTAACACGAAACACATTGGTATAGGCTCTGTTAATGGGACGAGGCTCTGTCATGGCTAATTAAGGATGTGATTAGCTTAATACACTGCTGCAGTTTTACATAAATATTTCTAATATTAAAGAGTGGTTTAGGTAGAATAGGAGGAAATTTCTGTTTAAAAATAAGAAATAAAAAAATAAATTCCTAAGCTCTGAAGTTATTCTTTTGTCAATTTCTGAACTAGAGGAAAAAAGCTATAGCCTCTGAGCCACTTGCTTGTACGCATTTTTATAAGGACAATATTTTTTGTTTTATAAAAAAAAAAAATGAGTTAATAAAAATAATTGTACAGCCGCATGGTAAAAAGTTAAAATAAAAAATTGATCAAAATAAGAAATATTAGACAGTCAGAGATTTATGGTGTAAATAGGCTAGTGGTTGGACTAGGTTTTGAATTAAATTTTATTAGATTTGTGTAAAATATTTTAGGCTAACCTGATTTGTTAGTTTTATATAGGCACTGTGAATCTGTTTAAGTCTATTAGATATTCAATAATTACAAAATTAATTAAATTAATATTATTTTATATTTAAAGTTATTAAAATAATAATTTTATTTATTTTATGTAAAATAAATAACATAATATAAGACGACCTGAAAATTTATAGATCCGACGTTTAAAAATAAAATTTATAGCATACTTGATAAATATATTTTTTAAAAGCCTGAACATATTTAATTGATTATATATAAGGCCAAATCTAATCTGACATAGGATGAGCCACATGACTCCATTAAGCCGCTAACCAATTTACACGATCACTTGTGAAGTAATTTACTTTGTATGAATTATATTATAATTAAGGGAAAACTTCATTTTCACTTATTGTAGTTTTGTGATTTATCATTTGACCTCCGTGGTTTTAAATTTATCACTTAGACCCATTGTGCTGAAATAATTTATCATTTAACCCCCTGTGATTTCAAATTCTTACTTAGATCTCTTGTAGTTACAAAAAATTTCACTTAAATCCCTTGTGGTTTAAAAAATAAACATTTTAAAAACATATTTAAAATAAATTTTCTCTCTTTTTTATTTTATATCCTCATGTAATGCATTTAGGGTTTGAGAAATATTTTAAGTTATTTATTCTGAAATTAATTTATAAATTATCTTAATTTTTTATTTTAAAAATATATTTAAAATTAAAAAGATTATTTAAGATGAAATTTAAAAAATATTATTTATGATAAATTGAATATATACTATCAAAATAAGATATTTACTTTCTTTAAATAGATAAAATAAAAATATTTGATTTGAATTTAGTTTCTTGATAAAAATAAGTTAATTTTTTAGAATTTATTTTTATTTTTTAAACCTTAAATGCATTAGGTGAGAATATAAAATAAAAAAGAGAAAAAATTTATTTTCCTCTTATTTATTTTTTATAATTTTTATTTTAAAACCACAAGGAGTCTAAGTGAAAATATTTTTAATCACAAGGAGTCTAAGTAAAAATATGAAATCACGGGGGGTTAAATGATAAATTATTTAAGCACAATGGGTCTAAGTGATAAGTTTAAAACCACGGGGTCAAATGATAAATCACAAAATTACAATGGGTGAAAATAAAGTTTACCCTATAATTAATTAGGATTATGGTGTTTAAAATAGTATTAAATTAAATGGAAAGGTTATAGTTATTATTTTTTTTATACTACTTGTTGTTACCAAATCTTAACTGTTAATTTTCATCAATTTAACGGTTATAATTTGTTAAAATTAATAATTAATTAATAAATTTGACTCAATAAATTATTACTATTAGATTAACGAAAATCAACGATTAAGATTTGATAATAATAAATAAAAAAAGGTACTACATGTAACCTTTCCCTAAATTAATTAATCTCTTATTACAAAAAAAAAAAAAAAAAAAATTAATTAATCTCGTAAAACTAAGTCTTAGTAGGGAACTGATAAGGAAAACAAGAGAAGATGGGGCAAGTGGAGCCCCTGACATAATTTACGTATTTAACTTTCCAACGTATACCCCTTCGTTTTTGTTCTTTGTGTGTGTAATGTAATGTAACTTAACTTGGATGTTATATGATCATTTTTCATATTATATCGTTTTTGTTGTCGAAGCGCTATCTTTCCTGTTTCCTGCATCATTTCGGAAACACCCATGTCTTCAACCTCCAATTCTGTAAAACCCCGAGGTCTGCTTTTTACTTTTTTATTAATTTTGTATAAAAAGTTCGAAACTTGTTATCAAATTTTGAATCACCATTTACTCATTTATACAAATTCACATGTTCTTTTCAGATCATAAGTTGATGACTTCTTTGTACTTCCTTATGTTACTGATTTTATGCCCTCCTAATTGACACTGACAATAATATAACTAATAATTATGTATCATAGTTTTACAAATTGAAATGGACCATATTTGAGGGAAAGTAGAATTGATAAGAACGTGAAGTCTTTTGAATTCGTTGTTTTTAATCTCTGCTTAACTCAGTTCATCTGTGTGTATTTTTTTTTTTTTTTTTTTTGGCTACAGATGTTTGTATTGTTGGTGTAGCACGCACGCCAATGGGTGGTTTCCTTGGCGCCCTATCATCTCTTTCGGCTACAGAACTAGGCTCAGTTGCTATTCAGTGTAAATTACTAAGCTATTTTCCCTTTACTCCTTTTTTATTTCCTAGCAAGTGCCCTCATCATTTTTATTAAAAATAATAAGTCAGCAAATATTTATGCAAATTCTTGCTCCTCCTGTGTTTTAAGTTGATATGTAAATCTGCAGCTGCTCTTAAGAGGGCAAATGTTGATCCGTCACTTGTGCAAGAGGTGTTTTTTGGGAATGTTCTTAGTGCAAATTTAGGGCAGGCTCCTGCCAGACAGGCTGCATTAGGTGCAGGAATACCTACTTCTGTAATCTGTACTACCGTTAACAAGGTGTGTTCATCAGGGATGAAAGGTATGCTCTTTTTTGTTGATTTGGAAGGGTATTCCCACTTAAGTATATGAATTTTTAGTCGGTGCGTGGTGAAATCATGGATGGTCCTATCTTTTTCATTGCAGTTACCATGCTTGCAGCACTGACCATACAATTCGGTATAAATGATGTTGTTGTGTCTGGTGGTATGGAAAGCATGTCAAATGCACCTAAGTACATTGCAGAAGCAAGGTTTTCTTTTCTTTCATGAATTGTTGACACTTAATACTTTTTCTCTCCAATAAAAGATGATGTTTTAGAAATCTGACAAAATCTGATGAGGTTAATGGGAGGACTTCATTTTATATACCATTTTGAAATAATGTTTCAGTAAATAATTTATGCCACCTAGTTGTAGCTTATAAGTTTCTTAAGCATTTGATGAAGTCCGACTTTAATAAACTATCATTTTATTTGGTTAGTTGTTGATGTTGAGTGTCAACATATTATGTATATATTGTATCTAAAACAGGAAGGGATCTCGGTTAGGACATGATACTATCATTGATGGTATGGTCAAAGATGGTCTTTGGGATGTCTATAATGACTTTGGCATGGGAGTTTGTGCAGAACTATGTGCAGATCAACATGTCATAACAAGAGATGAGCAGGTAGCGTTCATTGGTAAATGGACTGTTAAAATTTTGTAATAGATTTCATTCTCATTCATTGCTTCATTACTTTAATTACTTTCACTAATTCCTTTAACTGTCATAGTTTCCTCAAATCAATATCAGCATCCGGCAGCCTGTCAACCCAGTGGAAGGAGCCATGTTTCCTCCCACGTCCCCCTCCCCTTTTTAATAGTTTTTTGAAAAACAAGATTCTTGTTGTGCTGGTATATTTCTAAATCTCAATTTGACAATTGTACCTTCTTGTCACATGCATTACTCCTCCCCCTTGAATTTTTTTGTGTAATACATCAGGGCCGAAGCCCAATGAATATTTTATTTTTAACTCCTTTCAATCCTTTTTTGAATCTAGGATTGATAATTTTGCTCTGTTCTGCTATGTATATGTTATTTTCCAGGACACTTATGCCATTCAAAGCTTTGAGAGAGGAATATCTGCACAAAATGCTGGTCATTTTTCTTGGGAGATAGTTCCGGTGTGTTTATGATTGCCGCCTACGGTAGATTGTTGATAACTGGTGTGGTGATGTTGATGTGATTTTCAATTAACACCTTTTTCACTTGCAGGTTGAAGTTTCTGGTGGAAGAGGGAAGCCTTCCACACTTGTTGATAAAGATGAAGGTTTGGGGAAGGTATATAGATTAGGTTATAATCTAAATGGACCGTCTAGTCTATAGTGCATGCTACTAGATTTTAGGTTTACCTTGTTACAATCATTTGTGCGTGTGTATGTGTAGTATACTGACCAGAGTTACTAAGAAATAGAAGTTTTTGAGAGGTTCTATCACATTTAATTTTAGCTTTTGCCTCACTTAAAGAACTACAAAAATTGGCCACCAAGTTGAAGCCAGTTCTGTAGAAGTGAGGCTTTGTATTTCTTTTGTTGTCTTTTTGTAAGCAAGGGGGTGTTTATCTGTTAATTTTTATAGACTCTTTGGTGTTAACCACTACATTTAGCATATTATGTCTGCCAAGGTTCATGTTATGTTGAATACTAAAAACAAAACTGAGTTTATCTGGTATTCAAATAACTGTTAATGGTTTTGTATGATATACTTTTGTAGTTTTGTAAGTTCATAACTGTAGAAACCTTCAACCGAAATCTTATGTGAAATATATTTGTTCCATTTTGGAATATGGTGTAAACTCCTGCTTTTTGTTTATTATTTTCCGTATTCATGTTGCCAGTTCGATGCTGCCAAGTTAAGGAAGCTTAGACCAAACTTTAAAGAGGATGGGGGTACTGTGACTGCTGGCAATGCTTCTAGCATAAGGTCCCTGCCTCTCTATCTCTCCTCATACGTGTTTGCATACGTGGTATATGTGCACTGAGTGATGTATTCTTTGATGCCCATGTGAATTCTGTAGATAGTCCCTTATGTCATTATAAGAAGTTAGCTTAATAAATTAATACCTAGGCCATACAATCTGGGGTGTGGTAATCATAATTCATAAGGTTTTAAAATGCATGCTCTTTTGTTGATAATGGGTTGGTTTATTGACTTGAGTAGTGATGGTGCTGCTGCATTAGTGCTAGTGAGTGAAGAGAAGGCACGTGAGCTTGGATTGCACATAATTGCAAAGATAAAAGGATATGCGGATGCTGCTCAGGTGCTATGACAAGTTAATCTAACTTGTTTTGGTCTTGATTAATGTGATCATTTAGAGCTGAACTAAGAGTGTTTTTGCAGGCACCTGAATTATTTACAACTGCTCCTGCCCTTGCTATACCAAAAGCTATATCAAATGCTGGTCTTGAGGCTTCTCAAATTGATTATTATGAAATAAATGAAGCTTTTTCTGTAAGGAATACAGCCCCTATGTTACCCATTCAAGCTTCTATGCTAATCATGTTCTAACTTCTCTGCAGGTTGTGGCTCTTGCAAATCAGAAGCTTCTTGGTCTTAATCCCGTGAGTTTTCCATGTGACTCATCTCTCTGGCTCTTTTTGCATAATAACATGTCTTTTTTTGTGTGGCTATTCTGGCTGCTTCTGCATTTATAATGCCTTAATAATAGATAATTCATGCTTTTCCTATCAAATGCAGGAAAAAGTTAATGTACATGGTGGAGCTGTTTCATTGGGGCATCCCTTGGGTTGCAGTGGAGCTCGCATCTTAGTTACATTATTAGGGGTAATTTGTGACTTTGGTTGCTCTATACATAATTTCCTTTCACCCTTGGCACTTTTGTTCTTATACTTCTCCCGTTAGTATGTCTGTAAGCCATGAAGCTGTTATCCATTCCACTTTGTAATTCTTGTCTGATCACTATATAAAATCAATTTTAAAATGAAACCTATGGCTCTGGGAAATGTATTTATTTTATTTTCCAGATTTTTTTTGATCTGTGGATATCTTAGCCAAGTTGTGTTTCAGGTATTGAGACATAAGAGAGGGAAGTATGGTGTTGGTGCCATCTGCAATGGGGGAGGAGGGGCATCTGCTCTTGTCTTTGAGTTCATGTAAGCCTTTCTTACTTGTTAAGGCATAGCTCAGTTCCAATACTTTACCGTATGGTTGGTCCTGTTTGAACCATGTGAGATCAGGTCCTTCCTTATTCTGGGGATGTTTACCATATTTCGTTGTTGTAGTTTGAAAAGTTATAACTAATGTTGCCAGTGAATTAGTAGGGACCTTAAAGTTTAATGCTCAACAAATGTCATGTATCCCCTGTAGTTAAAATTCACTGTCCTACGTAGACTAGTAATACTGTTGAAGATAAGCCTTAAGGGCTGTAGCATTTTATCTCGAATAATAATGGTGTGAGATGACAGTGGAATTGTGGTCAATAAATCTTTATTCCCGTAACAATCTCTATTAACTGTAGTTGGCATATGAAGTATCTTGAGATATATAGTCTCACATTGGTTGTATGTGCAACTAATGTGGAGTTTATAAGGCTTTGGGCACTTCCATCCTTTGAGCTAGCTTTTGGGGTGGTGTATCTCAAGGTTCTTTACATGGTATCAGAGTCTCGCTGTCCCCCACTTTCTCTTGTGGAATTTCTTAGCACAGGTAGGCTGGGCCTGTTGCATTGTCCACTCTTCAAGCCCAATGGGCTCTCGTGTGAGGGGGCGTGTTGAGATATATAGTCCCACATTAGTTGTATGTGCACAACTAATGTGGAGTTTATAAGGCTTTGGGTACTCCGACCCTTTGAGCTAGCTTTTGGGGTAGTGTATCCCAAGGTTCTTTACAAAGTATTCTTTAATTACATTGATCTGCACCATGTTACCTAAAATCGAGCTCACATAAGAAGAGGTTGGAGACCTGATTCTTTTATAATTTTAATTTTAGAAAGGGAAAAAGTTGTCCTTTTAAAGTACACAAGGCTGTGTCTTTTTAGCAGTTATAACTATGTATTATAGGTAGTAACTAGATATAATATTAAAGTTGTACTTTTTTTCTCTCTCTTCAAAAGCTGTCTGCTGATGTGAAAAGTGAAAAATGTACAACTTTAATATTATAACTATTTACTACCCGTAATACATAGTTATAACTGCTTAAAGGACACAACTTTGTGTTCTTTAAAAGGACACACACTAAACCCTTTTAGAAAAGAAAATTTGGTATATGCTATTTTCGTCATCAGCAATTCTGAAGATTTAACGCTCAGATTTTTCCCCCTAATAAAAACCCCAAATTATCAAGTTTTTTTGCATTTTGCAGGCCAGCTGCCAGTGTGGGACGTTCTTTATTGTGACAATGATCTCCTCACATCATACTGCTATCCAATATTCTACAACTTTTTTCTGAAGGACAAAACATGTAATAAGTTCAGTTAAAGAAAGAAATGATATTGGTTCAGCTCCTTAACCGTTTGCGGTTATGTCTTTATATTTATATCTTTTTAATCCCATTTAATAGCATCCGTTTTCTTCGACAATAATTTGGATTTGGGATCACGACTTATACGCCATAGGGTATATAATTGATTGTGACTTTTCATTTATAGCATAGGTACTTCTATGCATAGTATGAAGGGTTTTATAAAAGTTACTTTATAGAAAAAGTGATCGTGTCATGTTATAGAGATTTGTTTTCTGTGTCTTAGTTTTTTTTTCTTTTTTGCTTCAAAAAATGCGGGCCTCACAAAATGTTGTGTGTGTAAGAAAAATGATTGTATCATGTTACATGATGAATATAAACCCCCTACTATGAATGTTAAAATGATGAATAAACAATAAAGAAAAAAATGAAAGGGGGGAGAAAGATCAAAATTGAGCCTGAAATTTTCTAGTCTGAGTAACTTGGACGTGTGCCTTGAGTATAATTCAAAGCTGATGCCCAACCCGTAGAGTTGGGGAAAAAAAATTATTTATTGCATTTTAATTAAATAATTACGCAAATATCACAGTTTGGGAAATATTTACGTATTTATTGCACACTGTGACGTCCCTTTTGGGTGTCACATGTGACGCCCCACTGGGGCGTCTGTCATGAGGTGGTGACATGTGTCACTTGTTTTTTCCAAAAAAAAAATTAATTTAATCTTAAAACTTCTAAAGGTCATAACTTTTGACTCGAGTATCCAAATCAGTTAATTTTTTTTTTGATTTCACATAACTTTTTGAGATTTACGCAATGACATCTCATTTGACATATTTTATTTCTCACAAACACAATTTTAATTTGCAAGAATGATATTATAAGAGCGGTTAAACCCAGAAGCCTTTGAGTTCTGGATTTGTTATTTAATATAAAAAATAAATAAAAATTTTGATTTGTGATTTAAATTTTTTTTATAATAATTTTCTTTATTATAACAAAATTTTGGTTTGTGATTTAAATTCAAAATAAAAAAATTATTATTAGTAAGGAAAACAAAATAAAGATTTGATTTGTGATTTAAACTAAAAAATCAATTTGAAAAATCTGTAGAAATAAAGAAAATAATTAAATAAATATTATAAATTTCTAAGGAAGAAGGATATTATTTTTAAAATTAATGATTAATGTTATAAGCTTCTGGGTTATTATTCGTGATCTGAAATTAATGATGGCTTATAAATGTTTTTCAAAAATAAAATTACCTAAATTAGGCGTGATTTTCTCTTGATTGAAACCCAATTTAGACGTGATTGATGATGTGTTAGGTTTTGAAAAGTGTTGACACGTGTCACATTTTTAAACTCAGAAGCCTCTGAGTTCTGCGTTTGTGATTTAATACAAAAAATAAATCAAGATTTGATGTGTGATTTAAATTAAAAAAATAATTTTTTTTATTTTTATTATAAAGAAATTTGGTTTGTGATTTAAATTAAAAGTAACAATTATTATTAATAAGGAAAACAAAATAAAGATTTGATTTGTGATTTAAACTCAAAAATCAATTTGAAAAATCTGTATTAATAAAGGAAATAATTAAATAAATATTCTAAATATCTAAGGAAGAAGGATTACCTGATTTAAGTTTAAATTATGTTGGTGAGAAATAAAATATATCAAATGAGATGTCATTGCGTAGATCTCGAAAAGTTATGTGGAATCAAAAAAAGAATTACCTGATTTGGATACTCGAGTCAAAAGTTATGGCATTTAGAAGTTTTATGATTAAATTAATTTTTTTTTTGGAAAAACAAGTGACACATGTCACCACCTCACGAGAGACGCCCCATTTGGGCGTCTTCCTCTTATGAGAGACGCCCCAGTGGGGCGTCACAGTGTGCAATAAATGCGTAAATATTTCCCAAACTGTGATATTTGTGTAATTATTTAATTAAATTGCAATAAATAAATTTTTTTGCCCGTAAAGTTGATATTTATTGGTGAAAGATTATTAATTTTTTGTTGTATATCAATAAACATAAAGGATTAAAAGGAAGGGAGAAAAAACAAGATTTCTTGTAACTACAAAAAAGGAAGAAATTAATTTAAATATTTAAAACTCAAAAAGAATAATTGCATAAGTTAAAATGAATTATTTTCGCTCAGGTATAGTATGGGAGTATATGAGAGGATCTTAGCTCCATAAATAAAAGTTAAAGGTACTTTTTTTTTACCCATTATCTATCTTAATGTATTCTCTCATGACTTTTATTTATATTTGAAAGGTTGAGATTCCCTACTTTTTTTTAACCCATTGTCTATCTTAATGTATTCTCTCATGACTTTTATTTATATTTGAAAGGTTGAGATTCCCTTTTATGATCTTGGATTCATTATTGAGATACGTTAATAAATAAAGTTTTATTTTTGTATAATTTTTTGTGATAGATTATACGAGTCAATTGTGTTGGGTATGACTCATATTTTGCATTCAGATGAGAACTCTTATTGGGGGATTAGCAGAAAGTCAAATGACTCGTTGCTGAGTCATTGTTTTTATTTATTTTTAGTAATTTGGACTTGAACTTATGAATAATTATTGTTAAGATTTTTTAAATTCTATTTATATTTTCTTATAAACCGAATTATTTTGTAACAAATGGAAGTGAAATGAATATAATACAGACAAATTAGACATAACCTAAGTGAATTAGCTAAATCACTATGTCAATTTTTCTTCCCTTTCTCTTTTGTTTTGTGATTTGTGTGTTTGTATCTGTCGATTTCCTTGTCGATTTCTAAAAATTGTTGGTTGACTTATCTGGCAATTTTTGTTTAATTATAAAGTAAGTTAGGTTGACTTGTACAACCCATAATTTTTATTTAATATTTAGCGAATTAACTCCCAAAGTGGTTGCAAAATAAAATGAGTTCCTATTTTATTATTTATTTATTTATTTTGTATGCAGATCTAAAATATTTTTTAAAACAACTCGTCGGGTCCCCCCTCTTTTTAGTTTGACCCAAAACAAATTGACCTGCATTTACGTCGATTTTTGCTACTCACATTTTGGTTTCACGTGCATGCCATGTTATTGATTCTTTAAAAAACAACTTAGTGTTATATGGGTTTAGTGTGTGTCATTTAAAAGTACATATATTGTGTCTTTTTAGTGACTTACACAAAGTATGACCGGTCATTCATTGTATAAATCTGAAAAGTTACTTTTTTTCACTTTACACGTCAGCGATGTGACTGTAGAGAGAAAAAAAAAATAATTTTTTAGACTTACACAAAGTATGACCGGTCATACTGTCGTACTTTGTGTAAAACACCTAAAAGACACAAGCTTCTGTCATTCAAAAGGATATTTGTGTCATACTTTAGTGTGTGTCATTTAAAAGTACACATATTGTGTCCTTTTAATGACTTACACAAAGTATGACCGGTCATACATTCTATAAATCTGAAAAGTTACTTTTTTCACTTTACACGTCAGCGATGTGACTGTAGAGAGAAAAAAAAAGCAATTTTTCAGACTTACACAAAGTATGACCGGTCATACTGTCATACTTTGTGTAAAACACCTAAAAGACACAAGCTTTTGTCATTCAAAATGATACTTCTTTTTTCCTTCTTATATAGCTTAATACACACATCTCAAACATAATCCTTGGACGGAGAAAAAGATAATGTATTGGAAGCACAAACTCTCATCTTAGCACATGTATATGAAGAATAGGTGTTTAGGCTGTTTTTAGACAGGAGTATCTTCAATCTCCTTGGTAGTTATAAGTTATAACATCAAAGGGTTAGTTAAAAACAGACCAGATCTACAAGATTTACTTTAGATCATAATTCCTAATTAACCAAAATGTAAACATTAGGGATTGAGCTGCACAATTACATTTAACGTGTAATGTCCAGCGTTGCTTACCTAAATCTTCCTTATTTTTCGCATATACCCTTTTATGTTTTCTCAATTACACACAGGAAAAAGGTCATTTTTGTATTTGACCAACCTGTTTGGTTGGTATATACTGTCAGCATCACCACAAACCTCTCTGTCCCTCGTACTAAAATAGCATAGCTAATTCTACATCCTAGCAGATTTAACCAACCAAAATCTGGGATGTTCTTTTCAAAGGGCACAGAGTTTTCAAATGTGAAGATTGGACTCAAGGAACCTACGTTTTCATCAGGTTCTTTTGAGTTCCAATACCTTTGCTTTGCAAATTCTTTTTTTTGATTTCTAGCTGATCAAGTGAAGGAGGGACTCTTCAGCCTTCATCTTTTTTTCTTCTTTCACGTAAGAATATTGTGCTTTGCTATCATCTTCATTGACATTGACATGTGCCCTTCATTGGTGACAATGACATGTAGGGCTGTTCAAAGTCTGAAGATATGAAAAATTATTTCTTTAAGCATTCGATTTAGATAAAATGTATAATGTGGTACAATCATATGGTAATATTTGAAAGTTTAAATAATTCCTTCTGCAGTTTGCATAAACATATCAAGGGTTGTCTTCAGTTTAATAATCCAATCCATAGAATGCTCATTGCAATTATTTATCTTGCAGATACTATTTCCAAGTTAGAGCAAAGAGGATGAAAAGCACCAGAAAGGTGGGTTCACCAAGGGGAGAGGTTGGAGAGATTGACACGAGGGCACCATTCCAATCTGTCAAAGCTGCTGTTAGTTTATTTGGTGAAGTAGCCGTCTCTAAGGACAGATATGCTGTCAAGAGAAGATCATCAGAGGTATACATCAAATCTAACTCTTCATTAAAAAACAATTCTAGGATATATGGCAAATTTTAAATTTAGACTCACACAAGTAATACAAAAGAGACCTCTTGTTATGTGAAAAGCTTTTGGTTTTTCCTCGCCCAATATAAATGTCTATAGCATTGCGTGGCACACACATTTTAGGATGTTTTCATGTTTGTCATGGCAAAAGATTTTCACGTTTCTTTCTTAATTTGCAGAATGTATTTGAAAAGGAGACACAGCTTATCTTGGCCCAAAAAGAATTAGACAAGTTAAAGAAACAGGTGGAGAGTGCTGAGACCTCGAAAGTTAAAGTACTTTCTGACCTTGAGAATGCCAAGGTGGTCCTTCAGAGTTTGACAACCAAGCTCAACAATGTGAGAGAATCCAAGCAATCAGCAATGGAAGCAGCTAAAGCTGTGAAGAATCAGAGCAAAAAACTTGCAAAGGGTCTATCCCTAAAAGCTGTAGGATTTGAAGCTTGGAAACGAGAACTAGAAAAAGCAAGAAAAGAGTACACGACTACTACAACTGAACTAGATGCTTCCAAGCAAGAACTCACCAAAATCAAGCAGGATTTTGATGCAGCTTTGGAGGCAAAGCTGGCAGCATTCCAGAGTGCAGGAGAAGCTCAGCGTTCAGCAAAATTAAACTCTGAAAGGATCAGTGAACTCTCAGATGAAATTGCAACCATGAAAGCATCAATTGAACAGTTGAAGCTCGCCTCTGTGCAATCCCAAGAAGAACAGGAACAAGTCATGGGACAAAATGAAACCCCACTTGGTTTTTATAAAACTGCTAAGGAAGAAGCACAGAAAAGATTGGAGTCCTTAAAGAATGAATATGATCCTGAACTAATCAAGAGTCTAGAAGCCAAACTTGCTGAAACAAGTGTAGAGATTGATGTTCTTCAAGAGCAGATGAAAAAGGTCCATGCTTCTAAGATGGATTCCATGAGACTTCTAACTTCAGAGCTTAAAGAAGCCACGAAGACACTGCAGGACGTTGCTGAAGAAGAAACCTCCCTTAAGAAACTAGTGTTTTCTCTCAGAACAGAATTAAAACAAGTGAAGAAGGAGCAAGATGAACTGAAGGAGAAGGAAGAGGCTGCAGAAGAACTTGCTACTGACCTCAGTGATGAACTTGAAGAGATCATGGGAGAGGCAACACCTGAGCTAGGTACTGTGGAGGATTTAGAAGCTAATATCTTATACGTCCAGTGTGTTAAAATCCATAAGCTACAATCGGAGACGGAAGATGCTAAGAGAGAAGCAGAAGAGATGAGCAGAAAAGCTCAAGAACTGAAGCAAGAAGCTGAAAAATCCCGAGCTGTGGCTGAAGAAGGAGAGAGAAAACTAGAGCTTGTTCTGATAGAGGCTAAAGAAGCAAAAGCAGCAGAACAAAGAGCCCTTAAGGAGATGAAGATTTTGTCTGAAGTACAAGGTAAAGTCTCGAATTCAAAATTCATTGGGAGGATCAGAATGTCAAATGAAGAGCTTGAATCACTGAGTGGAAAGGTCAAGGAATGTGAAGATTTGGTTGAACAGAAAGAGGCAGCTGTTACAGCTCAGCTACAAGAAATCTACACGAGAAAAAATGAAGAAGACAGAAAGGTGGAAGCCAATATGAAAGCAATTGAGGAAATAAAGGCTGCAACTGAAACAGCTTTGTGGAATGAAGAGATGGCAGATTCTGCAAAAGTGGCAATTGAGGATGAACTAAGGAGGTGGTATCAACAAGAACAAAAGGTGGTAGCCAATGCATCTCCCCAAATATTGGATTATTCAAACTATTCTTCAAGACCTATCTCGTTGAGCATCTAGAAGAGTAATCTGTCATCTTAGAGATGCAGATGGGATTATCAAAAGGAGGAAACGGAACAGCTTGGTTGTAGTGTTGGCTTTCTGCCTTTGTCTTGGAAAACTACTTGCACTGGAAGATCACTTATGTATCAACAACTCTTCCAGTATGCTTGGGAACCATATTAAGGTTCCATCTTTCAAAAAAAAGAAAAAAAAAAAAAAACTTGTGTAAATGTTAATTGTCATTGTCAACATCCTGGTTTTTTCTTGCTCCTAGGGCCCTTAACACTGGTTTCTGGCTCTTCTATATTCCAAGGAAAACATAAGATGTAGCTGTTCTTAAGGGCTCATTATGTAAAATCACGCAAAGCTGAAGAATTTAAAGTACAGGAAATAATGCGTACGTTGTATCCTCCTATGCAGTTCAAAATGACTATAGCTGCTTCTGCTTATAGTGCATGGTTAGTGGTTTCTGAAAGTTTTGTAACATTATCATAATCAAATCTTGTTTGGTTCAGTACGCGTCTAACACCAACTCATTTAGTAATCAATATATCATTACCGTCAAAAGTTGCAAGTAACATGATTGAAGGCTTAGGCACTAAATTACAGTTACTAAACAAAATAATGGAGAAAAGATACAAATATTTTTTAACCTCTTCAACATTATTTGGAAAGCATGGAAGCATTCAAATAAAATAACAGTAGCACTGAAATCAAGTGGATTGGATGAAGTGATACTAACTATTCATATTAAAATATCAAGTAAATAACATTATTTTTTGCCACAAAATAAAAATATTATATTACTCCTTATTTCCAAGTACAATGCTTTTAAATAAATTAATATTTTATATTTGACTTGAGAAAGAAACATGATGACCAATAATGCAAAAGATCAAACTTTGAGATGAAACACGATGGAAAAATATTATATTTGACATTTATATCGCATAGTGGCTCGATGCAAAGCTGGGATTGGCATTACTATCCCTGAATTTCTCTTAACATACATAAACAACGCTTAACTAATTCTACTGAGTCCTGATAGAAGTAATATGGATGTGGAAGGAACCCTGCTACATTGGTAATAACAGGTAAAGACCATTGATTTTGAGGCCACAATTGGAAATCCTGAAAGAAAGTATTAGACACAATTGCCGTTCTCAAACTTGTGTAACTCTGACTCTATAGTCTTGGCAATCTCTGCTTCATCATCGGGAGGTTCTGGAAAATCTACATGAAAGGATCCCTGCTTGATGGGTTCAACAGCTTCACGGATTCGGGCTTGCTGATTGATGTAGTCGTAGAGCTGTTGATGGAAGGGATGATCCAAGGAATAGCAATTATCACTTCCACTCTCTGAATGTCTAGATGATCCAGAGCCTTCTTTTCTACAGAAATGTGGTAGAGATTGGTAATCCATGATCTACACGTCAAATTTAATTGGTTAAATTCAATTAGACAATATAAAAAAAAAAAAAGACAGTAGGTATCACAGAATAGGCCTTCAATTTTTTAAAAGAACTACCCACGAGCATACTAGTAGGAATAAAAATAAAAAAAAAGTGAAGAAGTTTTCAGAATCAATACATGCCCTTCCAGGAATTGAATCATGCTACTTTTTATGGACTAATTGCATCTTATTTAAAAAATAAATAGCTCACAAATTTACTTATAAGGTGCATCTAGTGTAGTGATATTATAATACCCACCCACTCTACTTACCGGGATTCGATTTTTCGCTCATCCTTTTTTCCCAAATATTTGGACTTAAATGCTACATATTAAATTGGAAAACAGTTATTGATCAATACTTGATCATTTAGTGAAAAATTATAATGCGCATCCAACATGATTAAGTAAGAACAATGAAAAGAATAATTATTATGAAATGTTTTCACTTTTGTTTGGGGCAGGATTCAACTCTTTAGACCATTTTCCTGTTCTCCAATTTATAAGCAACATATAAGCCCAAATATTCAGGGGAGAAAAGGCAAAGCGAGAACCAAAACCAGGTAAGTTTTGTGGAAGGATACTACACTACTAGTAGACCAGATATAACTTACGCTAATTTTGCAAATTATTTATCTTTTAAACATGTCACGTGAATCGGTGACTTTTGGAGATGATGTCACATGACACACTGAATGTGCCATTCCACACGGCATCATGCAAGGCACCACGTGGAATGGGATTTTTTTAGTTTGTAACCGTGGCATGCTCATAAGTATAAAACCATCCCATTTTTGTAAATTTAATTTTTAATTTAATTTTTTTATATATAGCTTTTTTATTTAGCATTTTGGAAACAGTTCTCTTTTAAAATGAAAACCTACCCTCTACTTTCGCAAATCTCTCTCCTATTGTGAAACTATTATGTTTTCCAGGAGTCCATGTTACCCACAATTGAGATCATGATCAGTAGTAAAAAGTTTTTTTCTTCATTATGGCGTGATCTCAACTGTTGGGGAACTGTACTCTAGGAATTTTGTTCAAAGAAACGAGGGAGAAAAAAAAAAAAACTCTTACATTCAACAGTTCATCTCGTCCACAACCTGATAAGACCTGCACTTTTCTCCTTGTCCTCTCTTGTAAAAGTGGCTTCACAACCTGCTAATGCTGAGTGTTTATCATCACGCTGAGGTCTCAATAAGAACTCAACTTAAAACGCTATATTAAATAGAAATATCATACAGGAAACCAAGTCATAAGGAATAATGTTGACTTCTTTTTTTGGTAACAATAATTTCTCACCTTCCAACAAGCTGAAAATATGTATGGGGCATTTACAATGTAATAAGTATTTGTCTTCTCTGGGTAGTTCAGATCATCAATGGATGATATAATAGTTAACAACTGCATAAGATTGAACAAGTCAATGATATAGGATATATATAACACGTTAATGATCATTTCTACACGCTCTCACACTAGTTCACGCTATACCAACTCTATACAGCTATGAAATTCACCATTCAAATACAACTTCAAACAATGCATTGTTAATACATTCCATTCACAATTAATCATGGGTAAGCCAGTCGTACTGAATCAAGTAGCTGTACGAACTAAAAAGTACCTTAATCTGATTCAGGGCTGACAGCTTCAGACCAGTCATGTCTAAAACCTTTATACAAGTGGTAATAGGTCGCCCATGCTTCCTTGATGCAGAAGGCTACAAACATATATGGGTTAAAACAAAAGGACAAAAAGCTCAGGTAACCGGTTAATGAAGACTCTAAAGACTAATACTTACCAAGATTACACGATCACGATATTCATTAATTTGAATGTGAGACTGCACATAACAATGGACCTGAGAACATACAAACACGCAAAATAATGCCATAAGATACTAGAACACATAGCTTTAAGATGAAGTAATAAATAGTGCTCCAAACAAAGCAACGTCCCTTTTCCTTTTTCAATTAATTAAACTTACAGATGCTTTGTCAAATGTACTAAGCCCAACACCAATTGCAAAGACAGGAAGACCCTGGAAAGGAAGGAAGAACAAGAAACATAAATTTTTTAAAAATAGATAAATAAAAAAGGAAATAAACCAACCAAGTCATATCATTTTATTAATAAATAAAAAAGGAAATAATCCAACTAAATCGTATCATTTTAATCAATGTCAATAAAAATGTGGATGGTCATAAGGCCTAAGTTGCACTTTTTGACAAGCAAACACTTCCAATTAAAGCACAACTAAGAGGAAATGGAATGAGAAAAATATTATGTTTGAGATTGAGCACCTCTCTTGAGTACCCTGACAATCCTATTAGTTGTGAATCACGCACTGCTCTGTATAAATCAGGAGATATTGGTTTCTGAAAAACAAATCACCATACAGACTTATGTTATGTAATAAATTATCAACTTCAAAATATACCGTTAATGCACTAATGAGACACATTGTGTTGCCATTATTTTCAAAATAGTGTACAACATGCATAGATGGAACTTGCATCGCATGGTAGTCAAAATACAATCTTCCTCTTGAGATGGACGATCTAATGATTTTCCCCCACACCAGCAATCCCATCAGAAACTCATTTTGGTGGGATCATGTGGGATTGTCATGTAAGGTTGTAAGATAATAAGATCGGCGAGTAAGATCATAGGATAGAGGACGATCCCACCGTGCTACAAAAAACCCAAACTTGAAGACCCACACCAACTGGACTTTGAAGACCCAATTTTCAAGACCCATTTGAAGCCCTAACCCACCGTTGTGCAGCTGCTGCATCCTCTTCTCAACTGAGTGACCTCTCTCTACTGCTGAAACTGAATCCCCCTTCTCTTCATTTTGAACCTCATCGTACCAAATCCCTCTTCTCTTCTGCTACTGCTGTTTCGGCTATTCGTTAGCCTCTTATCCATACTGCTGTTTCTGCTGATTCGGCAGTACTCTGATTCTTGGGCTCTACTCTGGTCCAGCTGCATTGAGCTATACTACATTACTGCAGGTGCAGACTCTTCTCTTCTGTTCCTTTGTTCTTCTGCTTCTCTGTGTTGTTGCTTTTGTATCCATATATATGTATGTTTGTATATAATTTTGTACGCTAGGAAGGATCTTACGGTCCGCGTTATGATCACACGATTCACATGTTTCTCTCCCCCTTCACCTTCCGGTACTAGGTAGGATCTCAATTTTGACTACCATGGATGAGAGTTACCCTCTCAATTACAGACAAGGACAGAACTTAAAAAAAAAAAATGAATTGATAAAGAAACCATGTAAAGGATCAGCATAATACAAACTTACAGATAATATATTGTCAATCTCATTTTGTACTCTCCAGTTTAAACAATCAACCAACTGAAACATAATACAGACATGATGCACGTTATGTAAAATTCGGTGAGGAACATATTTGCAAGCAAAACATTCAACAAAAGGAAACTTCAATTATATATGTTTTACCATTTTATGGGCCTTAGAAGGATCCCACTCCCTTGCTTTTAGAAACCGCATTAAAGTTTCAGTGACGTGTCCTTGATGAACATTCTGTCAATTAAAGCAATTAAATCCCAAGGAAGAGGGAGACAACGAGAAGAAAGTCACCACTCACATAGATTCAGAATGCAAAAAAGTAATCGGAATCCATAATTAATACGGTATTTTAAATTTAGGGCAGGAAGAATAATTAACTTTTCCAGTTAAGTACCTGTTACTCGATTACAAAAGATATAAATAGTTGAATAATTTTCTTTAATGATTAAATTAGTAGCATTCCCAGAAACGGGAAGAACTCATTACTATCATGTTAATTGGCCAGCATACTTTATAAATGAAGTGAAAGCGTGAAACATAAGAAAAGTTATATAATTGAAACAATTTAATAAAGAGAATTGAACTTAGTACTCGAAATCAGATCTCATTTATCGACCCTAGGGAGGGAGACATTACGTGTCAAATATTCCGAAACACCAGGAGCCTAGAATCTAGAAAAACCAATCAGCCAACAACACAAATGGAACATAATTAGACACGGCAATTACGAGAAATTCAGGGTTCCAAAGTCCATAGTATCCAAAATCCACTGAAACACAACATGACTACACCCGAGAGCTTTCTGACTAGCAATCCAATAACCCAGAAACAAACCTAAGACATGGTAATTGACACAACTCATACAGAAGACAGAGATCGGCGGACTAAGATGTCAAAAATTAAACAAGCACGTTCCCTTAGTAACAAAATCAACGAAGTAAAACTTCACTTGAAGATGTCTGACCCATGTTAGAATTGAATGAGATCGGGTTGAGTAACAAAAATGGTAAAGGAAAAAGCCAAAATGCTAACCTGAAATGTTGTCTTCAATGGCTCTTCAACTAGGAGACAAAAAAAGAAATAAAAAAAGATAAGTGAAAAGCCTATCAAGTGAAGAAAAAAAAAAAAAACAGCAAGGAAGAGGGAGATCGAAGACATAATAAAGGGAAGACCTTGGTCAATGAATGCGCGCAACTGGTTGATTGCATCCTGGGAAGCAAATCCCATTTCTTCATGTTCTTTAATTTCTTTTACTTTTTTCGGCATAATGTGAAACACAAATTGCCTAAATTGTTGAGGCTTTCAAGCTTTACTCTCTTCTCTTTTTAGCCTTCGGCGTTACGTACTGCAACTAAAAATTTGCAAAAGGAAAGGGTTTCAGCATAAGAGCGAGGAGGCTATATAAATTTGTTGAGTTCAGAGAGAGACTTCAGAGTTTGAAAGAAATAAGAGAAAATGGCAAGTCAATAATCAAGATTCAACAAAGGTGGGCCAGTCATCTCTTGTTTCTCTGTTTTTCTCTTTTGTCTAAATTAATTTTCTCATTTTTCCCATTATTAATACATAAAAATATTTTATTTGCATTTTATTGTTATTATCGGATAAAAATGGCAAAAAGTTAAAATGGAAGCTTCAGAATCCAAGATATCAAATACTTTTCAAAAAACTAAAAAACTTTTTTTATTTCTTATCTTTAGATTATTTCTGTTTTTGGTAAGATGTTGTTTTTAGTACGTAATTATTGTAGCTGTTTCTTGACTGGTCATCAGACCGTCCATTTTTCCATGGTCCCACTCCCTAGATCTGTTTACAACCGTCAAATCTTAGCTTTATTTTTTCATTTTTATTTTTTGGTTCGGAGCTTTATTTCTTTATTTTTGTTAGAAGCTAAAATATATTTATTAGTTATTACTTATTACTTATTAGGGTACATGGATGGTCTCTTCGTCCACTCAGTTTGGGCCCAAAAAATATGAATCTTCTAATATTTTTTAATGCAAGTATTACCATTTTCGGATAATTGTTCTCCTTTTTACTTTATAATTTTATGTCGGTTATTTTTTTATATATATAGATCCTAATTTTTTTTTAAGGCAAGTTGATTTTCTTAATATCCAACAAATTTTTATGTGATTACTCTTGAATCCAGACTTAATCATAATTAAAACTTTTCACCGTTGTCAAAGAAATATGTTAATTACTTTCGTCAACTTCAAGTTAGGGGTGTTCGCGGTCTGGATTGGATCGATTTTGGAAGTAAAAATCATCTGATCCAATCCCTTCGGTTTGATCATATAATCATCCATTCGGTTTTGATTTTTTTCAAATCCGATCCGATCCAATCCAATTTTTTTCGGTTTGGATTGGATCGGTTTTCGGTTTTTTGAAAATCTTAAAATTTATTTCATGATTATTGTGCAAATAACATCTTTTGTATATATTGGCTTTGTAATTTTTTTTTTTGAAATACAAAAGCATTAGTAAACTATAATATAATTTTTTTAATTTTAGCAATGAGATATGATGCTCTACAAAGATAAAATTTTGTTGATGAGATATGACTAGATTTTTTCTTGGGTTTAGTTGATGGGTTAATGGGTCTTGGGTTTAGAAATTTTTAGGCTATGATTAGAGAAATACCCAAGTAGGTAGAGAGAAATTAATATATTGGATCGGTTTCGATTGGATCGGTTTTCATCAACCCATCCAAAAACCGATCCAATCTAATTAAAATTTGCGGTTTTTAATCGATTTTCGTTTTTTTGGTTTTCGGTTTATTCGGTTATCGGTTTTTCGGTTCGGTCACCGCGGTTTGAATCGGTTTGGATCGGTTGATGAACACTCCTACTTCAAGTTGCATGCTTTTAAATAGAAAATAAGTCAAATAACCCTCTAATTCCAAAAAGAGTGTATAGACTCTTCAATATTTAATAAATTCTTTTTATTAGTTACAATCTTATCATAAGCTTGTGTGTGCTTACGTAAACTTATTATTCAAATTTATTTTTTACTAATATGTTATTTTCATTGTAATTTAAATGATATGAATGAAAGATAAAACAAATAAAAAAATTGATATTAAAAATCATGAATATATATATATATATATATATATATATATATATTGTACATAAATTCTACGAGTGAAAATGACTAATTAACTAAACAGGTATTAAAAAATTAATTTTAAAAAATACTTGCCAAGTAAAATATTGAAAATTCTTGAAATAGAAAGCATATATATAAGCTCTGTTGAATTACTGTTTTTAGAAACAGTGTTTTAGTTTTCAGAATCAAAAAACAAAAAAACTCGTTTGGTAAAGTCTGTGTTGTAAAAAAAGTTTTGAAATCTGTAACTATTTTTTTGTTTTTAGAATCAAATTTAAAAAATATGTCTGAGTTTCTGTTTTTGTTTTTAATTTTCAAAACAAAAAAATATAGAAAACAATTGTTTCTATAATTATTCTACAAAAGAATTTTAAGAACAAAAAAATCAAAACATAATCAAACAGACCCTATAGTATTTACTAATAACTTGTGTGAAAAATCTGGCTAGTATTTTTATACACTCAAGTGTAATTGTTAATAACAAAGAATGTTGCCTTCATTATAGAAAGGAATCCTTGAATGAAAAAAAATGGCTATCAATTTTAAGATTATGCGTATCATTTTTATTTATTAAGAAAGTATTTTCTACTGATAAAATTTTCCCATAAATATTTGAGACATTTTCTATGCAAAGATAAACATACTGTTTCTGTTATTGATGAATTTATTAAGAAAGTATTTTCTACTGATAAAATTTTCCCATAAATATTTGAGACATTTTCTATGCAAAGATAAACATACTGTTTCTGTTATTGATGAATGTATTAAGAAAAAAAATCATGACTCCAAAGGTCATTTTCAGCTGATAAAAAGCAAAAGAAGTGAGATATATAGCAAGTAATTAAAAAGGCCCTTTCGGCGCATAAGTCTTTTTCATATATTGTTGCAAATTGGATGCTTGGTCATCCTTTGACAAGTGAATGCCTTGGTTCCAAAGGGCAAGTGTGTGTATGAAAATGATCATGCCCCACCAAACCAACCATTTGAGCGACTTGTTACAATCATGCACTATTATCAAAGGTAATTAGCATAACAAAAACGAAAAAAGAATGATAGAAAGAAAAAGGGGTTGTAGTACTATATATGCACCTAAAAAGAAAAGGTTAACTAAAAAGCACGTTACGGGATAACACTAAACTAGACCATTTAATGCGCTGCCTTTACTTTTTACGAAAAACTTCCCTTGCTCCTCTGATCGATCTATGTTTGAATTATCTTCAATTCCTGTAGAGGAACTGAGATAAAGAAAGTGTGTATGCGCGTGTCTGTGTATTCTTTTTAGCTTTTAACGTGTCTCCTTCTCATAGTTTTCCATCATTTGGCGCTTATTACTTCTTCTCTTGCCCCCATAATACACCAATATGAATGTCTTTAGAATTATATATAATTTGCCACTACTGTGTTTGTTTATCAATTCATTGTCGTTTTCATCAGATTATTATATTTGGGTACCCTCGTGGCTCTGACATGTTAAGGAAGAGTTTATAAGACATGGCGTTCAGTGGTGACGTTCTGCACCACTTTTCTAAGCTTATTAGTACTAAAGGCCAAATTTAACACGTTGCAGAATTTTTCATGTGATCGTCCGAGTTCAAAGAATTAAAAATCTTGATAATTAACCCCCAAAGCCAAGGGTTTGCTTGGGTAGAGGTTCAAATCCTGCCTCAAGCAATTCTTGAAAATTTTTTAGGGATTAGAAGATGTGCCTTCCTTTGAAGAGATAGTTTTATCCTTCCTGCAATAGTGAAGCTCAATATACTCGTTGTTCCAATGAGGGACTAGCCTACGGAACTATATCCGGAGAGCAAAGTGACTAAAAAAGGTTAAACGAGAATACTTCCAGATTATACTAAAAAAAATCTTGATAATTATTTTGGCACGAGTTTATTCGTCAGAAGAATAAAACATATAAAATGCTTGATTTCAATGTTTAAGTTTAATGATGTTTAAAAAGTACTTACCACTTATTAATTGCTAGAAATTTATTTAGAGTTTATGATACTTTATGTGTATATTTTGTAAGTTTTATAGAATTACTTCAAGTTTAATACATGGAATTAACTGATATTATATTTATGATTTTTAAATTATTAACAAAAAAAATAAAAACAAGTTCATCATATCTTCAGAAAGAATAAATATTCTCTTCTTTATCTTTTCTCTCTCTTAAATTCTCTTCTTTAATTTGTTGGAAGGTGTTACTATTCAAAAACCTGGGTCTTGTAGTTGTAACTAGGGGTAAAAGTGGGCTGGGCTGGGCCGAGCTTTGCCCCGAAAAGCCCAAGCCTACGTCAAAAATTTTTAATTTGGCCCGACCCAAGCCTAGTATGAGTCTAATTGTTAGCCTTGTTTGGCCCGTTTATGAAAAAAAACAAATGGCCTGACTTGACCCGTTAGCCTGTTACTTTTTAACCTCCAAGCAGAACCATGAATCAACTTTACAAAGTACTCAAATTCTGTTGCTACACCAAAAATCATAATTTCAACATCCAAACTGTTGGATATATGCTCTTTTGGTCACTAAAGTCCTATTGGGCTTCAGTGAAACTTGAGCCCATGAGGCTTAGGGTTGAGTTATGTCTAAGACCTAAGCGTATATATTCATAGTTTTCTCCTCTTGTGCCTCCAAGGTGAACAGATCATCAGAAACAAACCCCAAGAGGCAGACGTTCATCATCTGAACGGTTGCCCACACAACCATCTCATCCTCCTCGAGAGATAGTCTGGAAGATCTGCCACAGTCTAGCTTCAAGGAGGTTGTTCGTGCTGCGGCGCTGAGGTGAGCTGTTCGTGAAGAGGAATCCTACAAGGGAAGATTCTACACGAGACCTGCGCACCGAGAGGTAATTGTGAAACAAGGATGATTCGGTAAGCATACCAATGTACTAGGTCCTAAACCGCTTCCGCATAAATCTAAGATTTCCTACAATTGGTATCAGAGCCTTGGCTGTACATTGGTATGTGAATCTAGTTTCACTATTCATGTAATTAGTTTTGCTTTTTGAAATGTGGCACCTAGGGTTCTAGGATTATGGTATGAATCTAGCATGTGTATTTTATAATTCATTTTCATAAAAGTTTAAATTCTAATCGGTAAAAATGCTTTAATCCATGGTTAGGGTCTCTCGTGTATTTCTTGATTTGTAACAAGGAGGCTAATCCCATATGATTAGGTTTCCTCCTTGCTGTTTTTATTTATTTTTGGAATTTCTGTGTATTTTTCCAATATTTTGTAAAAGTTCAAGATCGAGAAACCGCGAGTAAGATGCGCAGTCAGTACTGTCGGAGACTTTTCGAAGACTTCCCGATCTCGGA